CTACCAACCAAGCCGAACCAGGGTCCCTATTTATTTTTTCTTTCCCAGGCGTAGATTAAGTGAGTAAGAGAGGAAGCGGGAAGACCAGGGGCCCAGACGACACAACAGAAAAAGAAGACGTATAACCTAGAGACAACCCAGATCCATCGCGGACGGGTAGAAGTTGATAATCAGGGTCTGACCCGTTGTCGATGACTCGTCTCGTCTCTCCTTTCCCGATCATCAACATACCTCGCCCCCAAACTTCCTTCACCATTCTTCATCGATAAGATCTCCGCAGGTGCCAGGTTCTCATTGCTCTTCAGACCTCGTTGTCTTTGGATCACCTACCTCGTCGACACCTCACACAACCTCATCATCATCAACATCAGGCAAGATGTTTGTTGGCTTACAAGAACACCGGCACGGCATGGACAGACTGCCTCCGCCAAGCAGCCTCACTCAAGCCCGCAACGACGACGTCCCCAGGGTTCTCCCAAGTCTCTCCTCCTCCTTCGGCTACGACGACAGAATGGACGTCGATGTCCGCTACGGCTCGAAGCAGCAGCCCCCGTCAACGGGTCAGCGTCACGAAGTGGAAGTCGCAACCACACTCGCCTCCATGGCATCTTTCAACCTCAAGTCACCCACGCTCCCCTCGCCCACACAAAGCTTCTCATCAGTAAAGTCAGAAGGTAGGGAAAGCCCTCTCTCACTCATGGCAGGAACCGACGGCTCACACGTCAAGTCTCAGATATGACGAGATCAACAAACTCTCAGTTCTCCTCGCCTGAACCAAGATCGCCAGACCTCCTTCCGTCGGTCTCCTCTCAGCTCTCCTTCACCTCCAAAGACGGCAGTTTCTCGTCCTCCTCGGCCAATGCCCAAATCACCCTCCCACGCCTCCGCGAACTCGACCTCCGCCTCCCGGACCCGGAATTCGCCCCTCAACCGCCAAACTCAGCAACCTTCATGACCCCCTTGACGGGTCCTCGTAGGACCTCCCTCGAGTCCATCAACTCCTTTCCAGAATCCCGCATCGACATCCCCAGCCCAACCGCCTACCGCATGCCCATCCCGCCTATGGCCTACCCAGACGCCCTCCCCTCCCCAACAACAAGCCAGCACCAGCATCACCGCCACCCCCTCTCGCCCCCCATCGTCGGCCGTCGCCTCACGAACCGCCTCCCCGTGACTCTCCGCACCGGCGGCTCCTCTCCCTCCCGCCGCCCCCGCCGTTCTCCCACCGGCTCTCGCTGCAACGTAAAATACACCATCCAGCAGGTCGACTTCATCGACTACTTCCGCGTCGACCACCACCTCTCCTGGAAGGAGGTCGAGGCCAAGTACGCCTCCGTCTTCCCCGAAGACGCCGCAAAGGGCCACAAGCGCGGGCCCCAGGGGCTCCAGGGCGTCTACTACCGCAAGAACAAGCAGATCCCCGCCACGGACCAGAACAACCTCTTCGTCTTCGACGAGGACGACAACCCGCGCACCTTCCAGTGCGACGTCCGCGAGCAGGGCAAGAAGATGAACAACTCCATCGGCCTGCTCGCCATGCATCCCGAGCGCGCCATCACCTACTCCTGGGTCTCGGAGGAGCACAAGAGGCAGTACGAGAAAGTTGGTACGTTTTACATTGACTCAATCACAAATAGGGCATCCAAACTAACAGTAGCTACAGGTCGTGCGAGACAAGCCCAGCTCGACGCCGCAGAGCAACGAAAGAAGCGCAGGCGAGCCATCCAAAACAGCCGTCTCTAGCTTCTCTTCTCTGCGTCTCACTTCTTCTCTTCTTCCGTTACAAGATTTTGCTCCTTTTTTTCTCTTGCGTTTTTACGACAGATATCCCAAGCCCCCTTCAATTCTGGTCTTCTTCTCCCTTTTCCACATCTTCACACAAGACTTCACACCAGGGGACACAACCAAAATCACACGTCACAAAAAAGGATACACAAAAATCAGGTTATTAGTGTGTAATCTCTAAAAGAACCATCACTTCTGCTTCTTTTTCTTTTACTCCGCAAGCGAAAAACCAAAAGCACAAAAAGTTATAAAAACAACACTGTGGTCATGTACGATGATGAAGAATCAAGGGGCGTTTGCTTTCTGTCTTCTCTTCGACTCTCTCCCCGGAAGAAGGGGATAGAAGTTACAACGTTTATCTGGAGCGCAAGGTTACGTGGGCTGGCACCTCCATAGGTCGCCGCCTGAAGTTCATTTGCCTCCTTTTTTTTCTTTGTCTTTTATTGGGATGCCGAAACGACGAGGACGGGACTCATGGGAATTCACGGTGGGAAATGAAATGAAAAAAACCGGAGTTGCTACATTTGGAAGGGGAGGCAGGTGTCATGGGCAAAACGAGATACCAGGCGCGCGTCGGGAGGCCCGGGGGAAGGGCCGTGGTCAGCTTGTCTGGCTTGATTTTCTCTTATTGTCTGTTTTCAAACATCATCAAAGGGGCCCAACCTTTTCTTACATCTTAAGGGGCGATTCGCCTCAGGGATTATGATATACGAAGTGTGTTTCTCTGCATTCACGATGGTCTTGCTTTTCCTGCGGGGGGGGCGGAGGAGGTTGGGGGCGGGTTGGAAGCCCCGTCTGTACATGTCTCTTACGGGGTTGGCCATTGTTGCTGCCCTGGTTGTATATAGAAACCATCTTTCCCACCCGGGACAAGGGTAGGATAATAGTAGATTTAGACGAACACAGGGAGCGCCTCAAGATGCTCAATACTGAAAGACTCGAAACCGAACCAAGCGAACCTCCACTCCTTGTGTGCTCAGATGAATCAATGGGTCAGCTGAATGACTTTCCCTTTGTGATTTCCTGAAATGTAAGAGAGAACCCGCTGAGACTGGGGCTTTGATGGGAGTTGGGGGAGCAGATCATCATGCGGCTGCTTTGTCGTCGACGTCTGTGCCCCCCATTGTCCTGGGCTTGGACAATAGGGCACTGAAACTGGGAGAGGACGTCTGGGATCAGGGGGTTTGGGGCCACGTTGGAAAGAAGATTATTTGGGGAATAGGAGGGAATAAGGCAGAACGGGGCGAGGCAAACACCTGTCTTCTGACGGCTGTCGTGTCTCGACCCCTGCATGTTGGGCGGAACCCCTCCCCCATCAGCAAGTTCAGTGCAGTACTGCTGTGTGACCGCCTGGCGCAGGGCGTTCGGGCAGGTATGAATAGCATCTTCTTCATACGGCCGTAGCATAGTCATGGAGGGCCGTTGGGTGGCTTGGGGAGAGATGTGTATGTGAGATGAGTTGGCGATTGCTTGGTTTGGGGTGCAGGTTCGGACTTGATGGTGCCGGGGCGTGAAGCAGGACAGGTCTCTAGGAGATCAGGGCTGTGTGGTGAGGCCGTGAGGCTGGGTGGGCATTGGATGATGCGGGCAGCGCCTGTAGATGTACGGCGTTGGCGTTGGTGTTGGGGGAGGGAAGCTGACATGGCATTCTTCGATCAGCAGGGGCGTGTGTTGGGCAAACTGGCGGCTGGAGGAGAAGACAAGAGATGAGGATGAGCCATGTGTGGTGGCTTGTTTCCTCGACGCAGGAACATGGGCTTTCACCGGATGCCCTATTGTTGTCGAATATTCCAGGGGCACCACACTGGGGCAGGCAGGCTAACGAAGGGGTGTAATGCGGCGGTGATGCCGAGGGGCGTGTGGCAGTTTGCAAGATGGCCAAAGCTGCTGAATTGTTTGCTTGTTTGCTTGCCTTTTTCAGCCAAGTAGATTGCTCTTGATGAAATCGGGAGGCCATGTGACGTATCCTTGGATATGGGGTTTTCAGGGAGTTGGGGTGTGGTGCCACAGGCCAGACACAGACAGATAACGTGTCGTTGGGTTGGGATGCGTCCTCTTCAAGGTGTGTGCCGCAGGTTTGTCAAGCAGCGCAGAGTCAACTTAGGGGTTGCCAAGTGTGTTAGAGTCGGGACTCCGGGTCGAGGACGACGAACCCCTGGAGAGGGTGTTTCCCGAGTGTCTTTGCTGAATTACAAGCAACCCCTGTAGTTGTAGAATTCAAATTAGGGTTGTATGGGATGACGGATTCATGAAGAAGGGTGGACACGCTTATTGTTGGTGACGATGAAGACGGATGGTTCTGCTGCGTGTTTGCTACCGTTGACAGGGTTGGGAGAGGTTGAATTTCTTTGGTCGTCTCCACTCGAGCAAGGGTTGTCGAGGAAGTGGTTGTTGGTTCCAGGTTGGTGATCTGGCCGCTTTGGACTGTGTGTTTTCCTCGACTAGCGTCAATGGCTTGGGCTCTCGCGTGTGGTGGCGTTGCTGAATGCACGTTAGTGATTGTTGCCAAGCCCGCATGGAAGCATTCTCGAAGGATCAGTTGGCTTGACCATGTTGATGTCTTCAGGGCTTGTTGGATTTGGCGTGCGTGTGCGCCGTAGGACGAGGCGACACTGCCCCCGAGCCCGAGGATATGGAATCGTGGCAGTGGGCAGATCTTGTTGCTTTCGGTGTGCTGTGGAACGGGGCACGTAGGAGGTAATGCACCTACTGTCCATTCAGATCTTAGCTGGGGGCCCAATTGATGAGATGTGGATTGCCAGAGGTCCTTTGAGGCGAATGAGAAGTGTGTCGGAACAGGGAGCACCAAGCGAGGTTTGCGCGCACAAATTGTCCACTGTTGGTTCCACGATGTGAAGTTGTCAGTAAACGGTCACTAGACAAGGGAAGGAAAGATCGGCCTGGTACCCGTCGAAATCCTGAGAGCGAGCCTGGCAAGAGGCCCCGAATGCTCAGGTAGCAGAGACAGGTGAAGCACAGTATCAATATTTGCGGCACAGCATCGATAGAGCCTGCCATTTGTTCCAACATAATGCATTGGACCAATGGAGCAGAGAGACGATGATCATTACCATAGCATTATGCTGTGTAGACTTCAAGCCTTCTAAGGAATACGGAATAATGCAACGCGTCGTAACCTCATCATAACCACGCCGCTACAGCTTTCCATATTGACTTCGTAATCGTTATGTGACTCTAAACCTGCAATGTGTATTTCATGCAAAAGGGGACTTCGACTTGCCCATCGGCTGTAGTCCAAAAATATCGTCCGACTTGACCGGTTTGCTCTGGTCCTCTGACCCGGCCACAACCTCGCCAAAGAGAAATGCGTTGCGCTCTCTGCTGATATTCCCAGAAGGCCGCTTCTTGTGGTTACCTCCTGAAGTAGCCTTGGGTAGCTGCGGCGGCGTTGCTGAGTGCGCCGACTGGTCCGGCTCGAGCATCCAAGAGAACGAAGACTGTGCGAGAGTTGATCGAGTTGGGATCGGCGGTTGAGGCCGCTGGAGCTTCGGTGAGGGTGTTCCAGATGCTGGGCTCGACACCGACACTGATGGCGCCTCCGATGGCTGAGTAGGAAGGCTGTCTTCGGTGATCTCCATTGCATCAGGCAGAATCGATTGCGGATCCGAAGATTTCGGCTTACCGTCTTCTTGAAGCGACAAAGTTGAAATACCATTTGCGACGTTTTCAGGGGCAGGCATTCCACCGAGCACAGCGCTATCGTCTGGTCCGATGTCCATCGGGACCTCTTCTTTGATATCCTCGGATGTTGGACTTGCGATGCTCTCCAGATCCGGGACCTCGATGGTGGAATCCTCCAAGTACACCTTGACGAACTGGACCTTCGCGGCGGCGACTTCGACAAGTTCTAGGGTCTTAACCTTGTTATCCAGATCAGATGTAGCCAGAGATCTCAGACTAGAAACCGTATCGTCTAGCATGTTGGCCAATAGTCTATTTCTTCTCTCCAATGCGGCCACTGCCTGGGCCGCCGTCTCGTCATTGAGCAGCTGCCTCGCCACACGAGGCGAGTAGCGCACGTCGTTAAGACCTTGCATGTTTCTTTTGATTTCGCCCATGGCATCCCGAACGGCCTGGTTAATGCCGAGCTTCTCGCTCCTTTCGAGCATGTTTTTGGCGGCACCTTGAAATAAAGCCTCCACGCCGCCTTGCTGCTGGATGAACCTGCCTGGGGACGGTATTGGGGAATGGGCTCCCTTGTTGCGGTGCCTGAACGAGGAGAATGCCTGACCCATCGGCGTCGATGGCCGCGAGCTACCAGCCGATGGCGTCGGTGTTGAGCTCGGCATCTTCCCCGTGTATTTCAAGATAAGTGACGCGCCACCTGACATATTAAGATGCGTTCTGAGGTACACTGCATCGTCCACGAACGTGTGTGGGCCATGGGGAGCTTCAGGGGCTGGGTATTTCAAGAGCAACTGTAAACAAACAGAGTAGTCTGCTTCGAGCACTGGGAAGTGTTAATTGAGGAATCACTGCAGGTGTGAAAAGACTCACAACTCCAGCGTATCCTAATGAGCATAGCAACGCAAATAAGATCGATCAAGTTCAGCGACGGGTCGACGGCAAACATGGTATCCCAGAGTACGAGGCATTGATCAAATGGGAACTCGCGCCCAAACAGAAGGCGGATCCAACGACTGAGACCTATGTTAGCAGGAGTGGCAGAAAATTCTAGCCTGAAGCACTTACATTAGAAAGATCTGTGGCAGGATTTCAATATCTTTGAGATGGTTTGCGAGCTCAGGATCGACCTTTGCCAAGCAAACCTCGTGGATGTACTTGCTCTTCTCGACGATGGCCGAGGTTTCTGCCCGATCCTTGGAAGCGGATGCCAGTGCTGCTCTAGAAATGGAATCCTTAACTTCGTAGAACGCCTTCGCTTTCTCCATGATCTTTGAGAACATCGCAAAGGTGTCATGCTCGATGTAGGACGAATCAAGCACTGTGAGCATTGTCTCATCTGCCGTGGCACCACTCGAAGAGAGGCTTTCGCGGTCCAGCGTATCTTGATTGACGACATATGCAATGGGCGCAAAAAGTTCATGCATGCCCTGACGGTAGCCACCGCTGTTCGGATGCAATTTGCAGTACACGAATAGCGCATCAATGATCATCGTTTGGATTCGTTCTTCGTGATAAAATGGCTCGTCTGGGAGGCGACGAACGTCCTGCGCGATTTCTGCTCGAATAATCTCGTCCTGCCGGACGGTGTTCCAAGGGGACTGGGAGGGGAGGTGAGCATGTCGGCATATGATAATAGTAACGCCGGGATACTGACCTTCGGATCATCGGTCAGAGGATCAACAGCCACTTTGGCAAGCTCTTCGGGATGCTTTATGAACTTCAAGAAATGGTCGCGCTGCCGAGAGTAGTAATCACGGGATTCGGAAATGTGTTGCGCCCACTCTGCAACTTCTGCAGTCTGAAAAAGCAGGAAAGCCTGGGTGTGTGCGCTGGTCAGCTTGAAATGGCATGAGACTACGGGCTGCACTCAGTTCACACTGACCTTCCAGCAAACAGACCTACAGCCCGAGATACACGGACTTGATGAGCCATTGTATTTTACTGCGCGCTGTAAATCAGGCAGAATGCCTGCATACTTCAACGTCTCGGCCCATCGGGTCCTGTGTATTGGATTAGTCGGTGAGGATGATGTCAGGGCTGTTGTGATGATGCGACGCGCACTCACTGGGTCTCATCGAGGGCTCTCATCGTGCACTGATTACCCCCCTGAACCAGGAGTTCTGTTGACTACAAGAGATGAGAAGCGATGGGAAGCGCATCCCAAATCAAACTTCAGCACTCAAAGAGCTACAACGACAGGCTTCGACTGATGATGAAGTGGAATGTAGTTAGTTGGTCGATGGTGGCTGGAGAGGAACTAGACAAGAGTTGGCTGAAGCTTGGGCCAAGCCGATGTACCTTGATTCGTGCTTCCCAAGATGAGGTAAGAGGACCCGACCGGCAGGGGTCACCGGTCGGCTTGCTGAAGTAGACTGCCGGGGCACTTGGGGTTTTCTGACCGCCTGCCAAAAGCAGCACCGCGGGGTCAGTGTGGCAGATGGCGGGGTCACCTCACTGGTAACTCAGACAGCTTTTTTTTCTGAACGGAAAACTTCGGGTTGACTCAAGTCTTCAATTTTGCGTCTTCATAAACTCATCTTCCAGCTTTTGAGTTCAGCCTCCACAAACGAGAAAAAGATGGGCTTCGACACGTACGCAACCCCGCTCGACGGCAGATATGCTAGCCCCGAGATGAAAACGCTCTTCGGAGCGAGATCCAGACACTCGACCTGGCGCAAGTTATGGGTGGGTAGAAAGAAGTCTCTCAAATTACGGCGAATTCTGTTGACAAAGTATTAAGCTCTTCCTTGCCCAAGCCGAGAAGGAGACTGGCGTTGAGGGCATCACAGACGAGGCGTTGAAGCAGATGGAAGAGCACCTGACCGTCACGGACGAGGACTTCCAGGTGGCCGCTGTTGAGGAGAAGAGACGCCGCCACGATGTTGTATGTTATCCGAATGCCAAATCATCCGAGACTTACTGACAATCCATAGATGGCCCGTAAGTTATTACTGCTGACTTTTCTCCCAGTCTCATGGCCATATGACTGACACGACTTAGATGTCCATGCCTTTGGGCAAGTCGCTCCTGCGGCTGCCCCAATCATCCATTACGGAGCAACTTCATGTAAACATTCTCTCACATAGCTCTCTTAAGAATATGGCTAACCAGATGAACTAGGCTATGTCACTGACAATGCCGAGTTGATTCTGATGAGAGATGCCATGGACTTGCTGCTGCCCAAGCTGGCCAAGGTGATCGACAACCTTTCTAAGTTTGCTCTCGAACACAAGGAGTGAGGACACCACCAGGCCCCTAGTACTGGGCACCTTTTCTGATGAATCGCAGTCTCCCCACCCTAGGCTACACCCACTACCAGCCCGCCCAGCTGAGTGCGTTCACTTCCTCTCCTTGCACGCTTCAAGACATGCTATTTTAGATTCCGCTCAATCAATACTTGGGGGCGCATGAAAATCGTCAGCGTTGCTAAAAAAACCAAAAGGCTGACCATCGTCTCTCAGTCACCGTTGGTCGTCGCGCTACTCAGTGGATTCAGGACCTGGTTAGTGCCCGGCCAAAATTAATTGCACCGTGCTCGTGCTGACAGAATTCCAGGCCAGGGACTTGAAGAACATTGAGACTCAGCGCAAGGAACTGCGTTTCCGTGGTGCGATGGGTACCACCGGCACTCAGGCTTCCTTCATGGAGGTCTACCACGGCGACGGAGAGAAGATTGACAAGCTGAATGAGCGCCTGTGCGAGTTGGCTGGCTTCGAAACGGGTGTCTACGACATCTCAGTCCAGACTTACAGCCGTAAGGTCGATTTGGATGTGTCCAACGCCATTGCTGGCCTCGGTGCCACCGCGATGCACATCACCAACGACCTGCGTCACCTCGCTACGCAGAAGGAGATCGAGGAGTGAGTTATCAAGATGAAGTGATCCTATTGGATAGATTTCTTATCGTTCGACTAGGCCTTTCGAGAAGGACCAGATCGGATCAAGCGCCATGGCTTGTAAGTCTCACACCTCGTCCCCGGTCCAACCCCTGTTACAACAGAAAAGGAAGAAATTTTTTTTTTCCTTTCATTGTCGTAAAAGACCCTGGATATCCGAACTGAAGCTGACTTTAATACAGATAAGAGAAACCCCATGAGAGTGCGTGGTTTATTTCATTTTCCTGGAATCGTCAGGCGACGATACTAAGCCTAAACCCCCCTCCTCCGCCCCCTTCTACATCACATCAATAAATACTAATGAGTTTCAGAGCGAGCGCATTTGCTCCTTGGGAAGGAAGCTTCGTTCGTTGCCCGTCAATTTCGCGGACACTTTCGCGGATCAGGTAAGAATCGAGGCATCACTTAGCCGTAAATCGCTGACATGTACCGTAGTGGTTCGAACGTACCCTCGACGACTCTGCCATCAGGAGAATTGATATCCCAGAGGTTTGATCGCTCATTCAGCTTTAAGACTTTGGAAACTAACAAATCTAGATGTTCCTCCTTGCCGATGCCATCCTTCTGGGACTGGACAACGTGACCTCTGGCTTGGTAAGTCTTCACCTTCTCCCATCTGAACAATTTATTCACAAAATCAAAGGTCGTCTACCCTAAGCGTATCCACGCCCGCGTGATGGACGAGCTTCCGTTCATGGCGACCGGTAAGTCTTTCGCTCTTCCCATCACCCTTTGGACAGGAAAAATGGCCGCAACCAAAAGTCTTTTGAGGTCATCATCCCTGTTCTTCAGCACGCTCTCGCGATACGTCAATGTGAACGTAGAGTTCGCTGTGTGAGTAGAATATGCGGGTCCTGACTAGACTCTGGATGCGACGTGAGCCGCAATAAGAAAATCTAAGGTTCTGCTAAAAGGAGTAGATTCAGGGCCATGAGAAGGTATTAGTTTGTTTTGGTTCGAATTGTTTTCCGCTGGAAAAAGCCCCCAAAACAATACGTCATCGGGAATGACAGCATTTCAAACGCCAACGAAGGATCAACCTCAACCCGTCCGACTCAAACGTATATCGTTCAATGGCCCTGATTCTACCAACGCAGCTTCCGTGTTACAGCCATTTTCCTGTCCATCGGGTTCCCCAGGATCTGGGCGAGTGCTAACCTCCATCGCCAGAGAACATTATCATGAAGCTGGTGGCTAAGGGCGGCTCTCGCCAGGACGCACACGAGGAGATCCGTGTTCTGTCCCACCAGGCCAGCGACGTCGTCAAGAAGGAGGGAGGCGCCAACGACCTGATCGAGCGTATCCGGGCGACCCCGTACTTTGCGCCTGTCCACGCAGAGCTGGACAACATTCTGGACCCCGCTCTGTACACCGGACGCTCCGGAACTATCGTCGAGCGTTACGTTGGCCCGGGTGGTCCCATCCAGAAGGCTCTTGCCCCCTACGCCGACTACATCAACAAGTCTGGCACCGCGCAGCTCAGCGTTTAAGCTGTTGCTTCCTGTGGGGGACTCAATCTCCCACAAGATTGAACTGCCTTTGGAAAATTTGGAAATTGAGGGGGTTTATGCTGAGGATGGTCCACGGAAACAAAAAGGGAACCTGTATATTCCCATCAAAAAGTTACTAGATCTTGCCCGAACACTCAAAAGAAATGTTACGTCCGTCAATTGACTATATCATAACACACAAGACTGATTGCTCCAGATCGCCATTCTTGGGGTCGTCTTATCAAATATGCAGTCTTCTCTCAGCATCGGTTTTCATCGAGGACTGGAGGAATACTCCCCAACCAGCTGGCCGCTGACACCGCATCATTAGTCATACCTTGCAGGATATAGAGGTCAGTCAATCCTCGATTACGTCTGGTGGCAAGCCAAGCCCCAATGGCAGTCCTCAGGTTCAAAACAATAGGGAAGTCGCAGGCCAAAATATGTACAGCTCATCGCGACAACCATCACATCCTCTCAAGCGTTCTAGCACTCAATCTTCCCCAGCCGATTCTTCGTGGAATCCCACCACGCCGCATGCACCATCCCCTTATTACACCCCAGCCCCACGCTGAAGGACCACTGGAGCGCCGTGGGGCCGTTGGCCTCGCACGTCGGCTTGTCGACGGAGACGACGCAGCTGCCCTTGAACTGCTTCAGCTCCTTCCAGAGCGTGCCGCACAACGCGGGCACGTCTTCGCCCTCATCCATGCCGCTGACCTCGATGGAGTAGCGGCGGTACATCGGGATGACAAAGTTTTTGGTGATGGGGATGCCGTCTTTCCAGCGGGAGCATTTGGCGGAGGAGGCGGTGGTGAGGGGTGTCAGGGCGGCGAGGAGGAGGAGGATTATTGGGTGTAAGAGGAGGAGTTTCATGGTGTCCGAGGGAAGATATGTTGGAAACGACTGACGGATTTAGGGGCTGGGATAATTTGAAAGAGTGTGATGCCGTGTTTTGGAGATCTTGGCAGACACGTAGTCCAAGTTCGATGAGGAAGCAGGCAAAATTCGAGTGTTCTGAGGCCTATTTGTACGCACCACATGCCAAGTCTCTCGCGAAGGCGAACGAATTCGGACACCGTGGGACTGCTGCTGCAACGTGACAGCGATGAAATAAAGGTCTCAATGCCATCCTGGTTTCTATCATTTTCCAGATGGAGAGGACGAGGGTATCACAAGTTGGTTGGGACACATCGAAAAGGACAAAGGACGCCGAGATCGACGGTGCGAGTACGAAGCAAGGAGATCTCGGGCTGGTATGATGCATCCAAGAACCGGCTTAAAGGGCTGTCTTGGCCCTTCCCGCGTACAACCGAGCATGTATATATGAAAGCGTCCAATTGGATCAAGTTGCTTAGATAACAGGCGATGTTGATATCATTGAGCCATTCCTGAACTTTTGGTAAACGGAACGTTCTCGCCTACCTGGGATGCGAGATGGTGCTTTCAGCTTCATTGAGGATTGCAACTTTGGGAAAGCCTCCTCACTTGCGCCCTCGCTATCCGTCCTACTCTCTCCTGTAGTATTCGCCAGAATACTTCAATTTCGCAGCTTCTGGCTTGAGATGATGACTGATTTCTCATAAGCGGGCGTCCTGCGGTCGAAGCCCCATTCAATCCTGCTCAAAGTCGTCAGTGCAGAGGCTTCTATCACCTCCCGGATTTCCAAGGATTCAATGTGCCCAGAGACCTTTTCGACATACTCAACTACCTAGTATATAGAAATTCTGATCTACCAGATTCTGCGGACGATAAGTTGACATATTGTAGAAATGCGTCGCTGGTTCAGCCGCCGCGTCACCAGCATAAGCATGTGCTCTCTTTCAGCCATATTTAGAGCTTCACAGTATCACCTTGAAGATAAATACTCTATAAATATGCTTTTAAGGGTGGAAGGGATTAATTTTGCGCAGTATATGACTGCGTGAGAGGCTCCTTTTCTTGAACATTTAACCTAACATGTACTGTTAACCCCTCCAAAGCGGTCTGCATCTCTTCAATACTAAGAACTATCATCTTATCGCGTCATCCCTTCCTTCTTGTAGAGTATCTCCATCTCTTTTAGAGTCATCATTCAAGTATAAACAGGAACCAAACCTCGCGGCAGCTTACCATACGCCCATGGATGGATGGTCAGCTCAACGATGCACCTCTCTTCTGGAAACACTACCAGAATGAGCTCTCGCCACTACCGTCAACAGCAGCCGCACCACGGGCAATTGCTTGTCAGGATTGACCATGAGTAAGTTCCAGTACTCATTGACTATTGAAAATGAACGTGACATTAACCATTGTGAAGCGAACAGCCACGGGATGAGACCATTGCCACCAACACTGTTGCGGACGTAGACCACAACTACATGTAACATGCTGCAATTCCAAAGGATTTAATGTCTTGTGTTCTTGATGAAATGGAAAAGAATAATGTAAGCAGATAGGATTGCTGGAAATAAGGCACTGGTCTTTGAATGGGGCGACAGACGACGCTTTATTCCCCACAGCCCACGTTGTAAAACCATTAGTCTTGCGCTGGTATATCATAACGCCTCACAGCCTGCCTCTCGTCACCTCTGTCACAATCTCCGGAGTATTTATTGCGCAAATACTATGCTAACTGCACGTTTTTTTTGAGCTAGCGAGGCTCCTTTCCACAAAGATAGCTAGTTAACATGCTCGTACACAGCGCACGTCCGCGTCTTCATTCAAAAAAATGTTTCTACATTCGCTCGTCCCATCTCATTGTGGCCCAAAAGAAGGAAAGTTCGAAGGAGATTGTGCGTATTTGAACAATTATTTGAATGCTCAAAGGTTCCTCTCATAGCTATCATATTCCCTGGAATCAGCATCCGCGCCAGAGATGTCAGTTTAGAATGGCTTTAACTGTAGGCCTTCCTAAGTAAGCTGATAATGGCTTGTCTGAAAAGGGTGAGTCCTTGACAACTTTGCCTAAAAACAGGACATGACACTGAAGACCATTCTAATATCATAGCCTCACGCAATGCATAATGTTCAGTTAAACCCCTGCCCCTCCCCTCCGTCACCCACATCTCCACCATATTCAAAGACGTATACGCAACCCAAAAGAACCCATCTACAAACCTCAAGCAATCTAGACCCCTTCTATAGCCTCTCCCCTAGCATTTCCAGCTCAGAGTATCACCCAGAACCTGAGCCTTCATAGGAAAGGGCATAAACATTGGTCGCCCTCCTTCCCCATCTCCCCATCTTTGCACCGCGCGGTGTTCGATTTCCACCCTGCTGCCGACGTCTTTATAACCTGGCTGTGACCCATGATGCACAACCACAGTTCATAAAAACTACATAGGCCAGAGGTGTCTTTGATCGGACCAAAAGTCCTTTCATCTCAAGACTGCATCCAGAGGACCGGGACCCTTCCCGGGGCCGGAGCGGGGCTCCAATGACCCCGGAATCGGCTTCGAAGCCGAAGGCCCACAGTCCTTCAGACCCATGTCCAACGAGCATCGTCAACACGACCAGAATAAAGTTTTCAGAAAAATATATTCCGTATTTTATATTCCCTACAAGCTACGCCGGCCCCCCCCCCCCCACCATCCCGTTTGCCAAGGTTGTGATTCTTTCTATCAAGTGTCTTGTCTTCGCTGAAATGCCACCTAGCTCCATGCAAACCCAGTACAATGTGCACACCGGTTGTCCGTCTCTCCGAGTCTCGTCGTTTTCCTCCGCTGGCCATCACGCCGTACATCCCTTTCCTCCCCTTCCGTCCCAAAGTCATCACATTCAAACGAAGGAAAAGAAAAGAAAAAAGTCTCTTGCTTGCGTCAAATGGCTCTCTCTAAGCACAACCGGCCGGTCTGGTGAACCCGGCCGTGCTGTTCAAGAATGCTCTTGGGTATCTTGACCAAATTGTTTCATGCCCTCCGCAGGCCTGTACCGTTCCACCCCACTCCTCATTCCACCGTCAACCATAAACCATCGAGTCAGTTACTCGGCGTCACCTTCCTGGCACCAGGGATGGGCGAGTACTTGGTTGATGTCGTATCGTGCCTCCACATCCCGGTTTAGCATGCACCGCACCAGGTCTATGCTCTCGTCGCTCATCGTCCACGGCACGCGGAGGTCGCGATCCATGATTTCGTCGATGCTGTAAAACGGATTCTCCTTGTAGATGATCGTATACAGCAAAATTCCCAGTGCCCATACATCTTGTTCCTTGCCGCCGTATGGCTTGCCCGCGAGGACTTCCGGCGCAGCGTAATCTATGTTTGCGTCAGTACATCCACTAGAAATAGATCTGACTGCTCTTACCAATCGTGCCCACAAACACGTCAAAGGGCCCGTTCTTGATATACGCCGCACTCCCAAAGTCAATCAGCTTGATGTTGCCCTCGCCGTCCAAAATGACGTTTTCGTCCTTGATATCTCTGTGTACTACCAGCGCCTTCGTGTGAAGATGGCCGATGGCCTTTGCGACCTGAACGAACATGCTGCGACACTCGGCTTCTTCCATGTTGCTGCGAAGTTCAATGTAATCGAAGAGATCCATTCCTGGCAGACCATGCGGAGCCATCTCGATGTAGTAGTTCACATCGTCCTCGAAGAAGTCCTCCATGTCGACAATGTTCGGGTGTTTGAGATCGGGCCGTCGCAGGTAGTCGAGAACGTGAATTTCCAGAGGCACTGTGCCCAGCTTACGATCTCTCGTCCACGTATCCACGAGAATGCGCCGCTTGGTGACGTATTTCAAAACTACCTTCTTTTGTGTCGTTTTGTACTTCGCCAGCTTAACTTGACCATATGCACCCTGTCCCATGTCCTCGATGATCTGGAAATCATCGATTGTCTTCTTGTGAGAGGGCTCGACGACTTGTGGGACGGACGGCTTCTCTTGCTGCTTCTTTTCCGGGGATCGATGTGCACCAGTCAGCTTCGCGGCCGCCGTCATTGCGACTTCCTTGAGCTGCTTGGTGATGGCGGAAGCAGTTGACGGTTCCTTCGACTTGGGCTCGTCGGAATCCGAACTAATCTCGAGTGGCGTGTGTGCGGGCGTCTGTCCGGGCGACGGCTGATGTAAGGGAGTTGTCGTTCCAGAGGCTGATGCCGACGTCACGCCGAGAGTTGATCTGCTGGCGTGCATGTGCCTGGAGTAGGTAATCCAAAGGGCGAACACGACCTCCGAATGAGTAATGGCGAATGTGTCGTCTTGCTGATCTCCGCCCTTATCTTCATCCTCATCCTCAATCACAGTCTCCTGGATCACCGTGGATTGCTTTGCACTTCTGACGACTCTCATTTGGACGTCGATCTTGAGTTCAGAACCGTCCCTGTGTTTTCCCGGCAACCCATCAGGGCGCAAAAACGTTGCGGCAGCATCTGGGCGGTTTTCCCGCAGACCCAAAATGGCCGATGCCCGTCGGAAGCTGTGCTCAGGTACAACAATCCCATCTTGGAGCTCAACGCCATCTTCCTCCGTCAGAATATGGAGTATCTTTTGAAAATTCGGAATGAGCGAGTCAATGGGCATGCCGTCGGGCTTTTCGAACCCAAACAGAGCTCCGCAGAATACGGAATTCGAGCTTTGAATTTTGAGGTTCTCTGGGTCAACGACGATGATCCCTGCAATGTGCGGGAAGCTCGAGACTCTCAGCTCAGTCTTGCCGCGTACCTGCTCAACCGTGCAAGGAATGTTGACTTTGGCCGGGTTTGGACATGTGAAAAACTTGCGCCTCGCAATCTGGGCAAAGTCAACCTCACCAGTGCGAGGGTCAATGCCTTGGCGGGGAATGCGCGGGATCAGCTTGCCAACGTCCACCCCAGGCCTGAGGGACTCATAGCCCCATATCGGTGCCGTAGCACCCGAAATCTTCTGAACGATACCTTCGTCGTCGAGCTCGATATTGGCCACGTCTTCATGGATTTCCTCGAGGACCCAGATCAAACCAACCCGCTTCTCCTTTACCCACAAACTTGCGGAGCCCGTCGCACCGTTTCGCTTTTGGATTGGAACCACGTCACCACACAGCAAAACACCTCTGGATCTACTGCTCTGATGCCGTGAGCTTCCTCTGAGTTTTGGTGGATTAGGATCTCCACTGTGAACGGTTTGTGCCTTGCGTTGAACGGTTTTCGGGGGCTGCGATCTTGAATTGGGCTTGCTCAGCAATTGGGCCGTTATGCCGCCGCGGCCACCCAGTAGTGACGTTGAAGATGCAGGTGGAGGAGAAGGTGCCGGAACATCTTCAGCCTCGTGGTTTAGACTCTCTTCGGGCTCCATTTGCAGCAATTTCTTCTCCAACCAAGCTCTTCTCTCTTCTTGGACGACTTCCAGAATACCCATCTTCCTGACTTCAGCTTTTGTGACTCCGAAAACCAGGCAAGCTAGGTCGTTGGCGGCGATGATTGTCCATGGAGGTTTAGATTCTGTCGTGAAAATTGCTTGTGCTGCAGGAACCCATCTTGTCGAATGCCCATGCACAGCCGGACCTAAGGCGCTTGGCATGTTGCCTGCAGATAGAGGGTGAGCTGTCGTCGGGGACGCGAGTGCTTCGTGAGCCGCCAGGTATGGTTGCGCCATTGTCTCTATCAGCTGCTGGTGAACCGAAACCGGGAGTGTGTCTGTCAACGTGCGCTTTAGGCTCAGCCTACGAGATGGTGGTGGAGATGTCTTTGTCGTTGTACCGCTCTCGTTCGTCGGGGTTCTGCTTGAGCTCTCGGATTCTGCATCGCCTGATGTTTGTTTCGGCTTCTCTTCTTGCTTCTTCTGCGGTGACTCCTCCCTTCCTGGAAAAAACGGCTTTGGTTGTGTCGTGGTTGGGGATTCGCAAGGTGAGTGGAAAGGCTCTGGGCTCGAGGTTCGTGGAATGAAGTTTGCTTCGAACAAGTTCTCTCCGGAAACTTGGGCAGGTCCGGTGAGAGGCCCGATGAGGGCTTGATCGTTGGTGGGCAGGTTGCCTGCACCGACGAGTTGTGCCCTTGCCAGCAGATCGAGCATGTTTTGTGTTTCGACATCGCCCGCTGCTCGCGCCTGAGCACTCGCGAGTGCAACATCTGAAGACGAGACGGACCACCCCATTCTGTCTTTCATAAATTCTATAGATCTCTTCAGGACATTTTGGCGGTTGTGGATATATTCTTCTGATTGGTGGGCGAAGGAGAACGAGTGTAACGATTCGGAGGGGAAGCGAGAGAGATCTTCGGAAAAGTTTGGTGACGACGGGTGGGAGCTGAAGGACATGCCTGGAGCGTTTGCCATCAGGGTTGTCATAGAGGTTGATCTCGATAGACCGATGGATGAGCTTCTAGAGGCGGGGTTCGACGATGACGGTATAGTCGGGGCTCGCGAAGAGGGCTGTTGTCGAATTCGACGCAATCCGGATAGACCAAGGCCATGGTCGTGGTCTGTTACAATGGAGGACCTGTGGCTATGCAGGGCTTGTCAGCGACACGATGCCTTGCCTGATTGTGGGATGCCATGTGATCGTGTAACCGCCACCGTGACAGCTCGAGTGGTACACTAGCACCCGTGACGTCCGTCAGGCCGACGGCCTTTGGATATTCCTGCAAATTTGTATATTGCCAGCCCTTTCAGTTGGCGCATGAATCGGTGGAAATCGCATTGAACGAGCCACTTGGACTCGCTCATTTGATGTCTCCCAGACCTAGATGCGCCCTCGCGAGGGTTCGCGCGTCAGAGGTTCGCAAAGGCCATAAAGTGTACTCGGTACTTTGGCGGCCCAACACGACGAGTGATTCACCGTGATAATCGCGCGCTTCGCCCCTCTACCACACCAAAAAAGACAGACCGGATATTCCCAAGTACGAATGAACCCACCTTGGAGGCATCGGTTCGCCCTCGGCGACAGAGCTGGAATCGAAGGAAAAGCGCATTCGGCCGCGGCCCGTTTGATCGTTTACGACGGCGAGATTTCCGGTACTTCGGTTCTTTGGGAGTTGAAGTTGTGTCGTCGGCACTCTGCTCCTTCCGCGTGGCTCTTCATGGTGTGTGTCGGTGCCTGCAACAGGTGGAAGTCTTGGTCAGGTCGGAAATATTCTTGGTCCAGCTTTGGGCCTGGATGCGGACTTGCGAGGCTGCAACACGTACCATTGTCGTGAGGTCCCCCATGCGTCTGTAGCATAATTGAAAAAGAAATGTCAAATTCAACTCGGGGAAGATGGAGGGATAAATGCGGGCAAGAGGCGGATTCGACGATGCAGGTTCGGATTCGGCGGGGTCGAGACACACAGCAAAGGTCGGTCTGTCTGGCAGGTATCGATCGGGGTCGTCGGTCTGCTCTTTAGACGTGTGCGTGAGAGAGGGCGGCGGAGGAGGTGCTGTTGGGCAGTGGTTGGAGTGCTGGGCTGCGAAGAGCGGTACGACGGTGGCTGTCGCAGCTAAGGTACAAACGGAACTGCCCAGGACGAGGTTCAGCAACAGACAAGGCAAGGTAGGTAAGGTCAGCCAGGTAAGGTGAGGTCTTGGGTTAGGTGGTAGGCGACCAGGTTGGTTGGCGGGTAAGGTTTGCCACAGGGATGAGTAAGAGAGAGTTTCGCTGTTGAGCGCCCCGGCTTGTAAAGAATGTCTTTTGCTTCTCACCGTCCGTCTGTCTCTCTCTCTTCCTGCTCTTGGTGGTCCGACCTCTACGACAAGGCAAGGCGAGGCAAGGCGAGGCAAGGCAGTGTGGGAAGGGAAGGATCGATGGAATGATCCGACGACGAATAGGCGGAAATTTGGGTCGAGGAGAAGCTGCGTGCAGAAGCCTGCAGAAACAGCAAGCAGAGCAGCGCAGCAGGAGCTGTAGCAGAAACAGCAGATGACAGCACCCCGTCTGCTTCTGGATCTGGATCTGGACTTGGACCGCCCCAATTCACCGAAGGACCAGGAAAGGGAACGTGAGTCGTTACCGTGCTAGTGCCACTCCAGAGAGAGCCCAGGACCAATGCCAATGGCCAATGCTAGAGCCAGTGCGAATGCCAATGTCAGTCAGTGCCGATACTAATGCCGGAACCAGCTGTTTACGCGCTCTCGAGTTCGACCAAGGCTTTTCTTGCTTTCACTCTCCCTCTATGCTCTCGTTGCGCGCTCGGTTTGCCGTTGAAAAGCGCGTTAGGAAGAGCGAGTGAGTGAGCAATGCGTGCGTGCAGATGAGTGGCTGGTTCTACACGCCGTAAACCACCACGTGTGTCTGTGAGCAGTCTTGGAAGGAGTGTCGTAGAGTAAGGTGTGTTGAAAGATGACCTAAGACGGGCAGTGAGGTAAGGGAGCCGGGGACCCAGGACGGTTCAGCGCCACTGTGTTGCCGCAGATGCTTGTCTGAAAGAGAGGGGCGCCTCGACAGTGTGAGCTGGGTAGTTTCTGTCCCCTGGTCAAGTCAGGCCCAAACAGCGAGTCTGGAGCTTGAGGTAACAGCGGGCGTCAAGTCACGGACGAAGGCTGCGGCGGCGTCGGATCGTGGTCGGAGGACACGGGACGGAAGTTCAAGTGCAGTGCAGTGTCACTTTCTTGCTCTGAGAGGCTGCGAGAGGAGAGGTGAGGTGTTTTGGCGCGTGGGAGAGGGGAGAAATGTAGGGAAAAAGAGGGTGACGAGGGAGGGCAAGGAAGGGGGAAAAAGTGAAATCCACTCTTTGCGCTGTTGATCGAAAATTTTGAGATGCATCCGTTCATTGCTCCTCCCTCCACCTTGTGTGTGTGCTTGTGTGGTGTGTGGTGTGTCCAGCTGCCTCGCAAAACCCTTCCATTCTTTCCTTCCGCAGGAAACCAAACCCCCCTCCAAAAACCCGCACATCGCAGCAGTTTCTGGTCGGCGCACAGCATCAGTTCCACGCCAGCCTCGACCTACTTACAGGGCCGGAGACAAGATGCAACACTGATTGGGGGGCATATCATGCAGTGCTCGCCCTGAGATGGATGCGAAGTGGGGGGCTCGCTAGGGAGCAAGTCCACTGAAAGCATCCATCGGTGTTGCTGTCCCCAACCCAACAATAACATGCCTTGCGCTGTGCAACACGTGAAGCAGTCCCAGCTTCTGGGCTCACCTCACTTCTCTCTGTGCTGGGCTATTCTCAGCTGAAGCATCGATTGTGACCGCCGTCGGTGGATCCGACTCGTCCATGTCCGTCCAACGGCGCCAATCTCCCTCTCCCGGGGCCCGATACGTCACAGTGCCGCAGCCAAGCCCGGAGACATGCTGTCTGAAGCCGCAGATCGCCGCCAATCTCTGAGCAACATCATTCCGAGGTTGTTGGGCAATGCATTGCCATCCCTCTTAGCCTAGGTGCGACTCTGAGAACCCAGATAACCAACACTCGAAACGAAGTTTATCGTTGCCGCTGCACGGCATCCACGGCTCGGGAAGGCCAATGAGCAAAACAAACATTCCATCGACCGTCCAGCCAACCACCTCAGACGGGGCAGACCCCTGCACATCAACCTCCGTCCTAATGACAACACAACTCTGCCGCCTTCACTGCCGCAACCTGACAACAAGAGGTTGCTCGGTCCGCAAGTATGAAGGGTTTGCCAAGCCCGTTGATCCGAACTCTCCTAGATGCAAACTCGGGCTCTGTGCGGCTGCCGATGCATGCTGTGAGATCCGCCATTATCAAAACCATCAGGGAGGGCAGAGCCATGTCTGTTTGAGGAAGCAGGATGCAAAGGATTGGCGGGTGGGCAGTGTGGAGCGTGTTGCGAGTCTGTGACGAGGGTGAAAATCATCACCTCGACGACTAGAGGATCACGCACCGCACCGGCCTACTTACTCACTTGCTCTGTTTCTCAGCCTTCTAAGCCAGGACACCCTCAAGCTCTCGCTCATTTTGCTTTGTGACAGTTGACCAAGAGCTGGGATTGGCCGCGGCGCGCGCAGTTGGACATTCAGAAGCTTCTGACAGGCTGAGTTCCGAGGGTCTATTTGCTTCTGAGTGAGATTGCTCAGAAACGAACCTAATTATACCCGGGTCGGGCAACCCGCCCCCATCTTCCCGATTACCTGGATAACTGCAATCGGCTACGCAGGGGATGGTCCGTGTCTCAACGACTCGTCCAAGGGCTTTTTTGGCGATACTGGCGCTTGTTCACGCTCTTAGGCTAACCCCGCATTTGACTTGACATGGAGCGATGGCTGCTGTGCCGCATCTCAAAACCTGGAGAAATTCCCGGAGACGCTTCTCGTTCTTCATCCTCGGCAGCAGCTTTGCGAGCTTCCGGGAAAGTGTGAACCCGAATCAGCGAGCTAGGCTTACTTGCTCGACATATTGCCATGGGTTTGAGCGGACTCTGCTGTGACCCATTGATGCCCACGCAACTCAGCGGTGGCCGGGTCTGGACCGCTTTGACAGTCCCTTATCTTATCGTCATGAATTCCAGATGTCCGGATGGCACGTGGAAAACAGAGTGCTCAGCAGCTTTGCTCCAAGGTGCCAACCTCCGGCGTTACCACATCGTGGAGGCTGATTAAAGGTTTTGGGGCGTCGGACTTCGAGATTAGCGAGCCATCAGACTGTGCCGTGGCAATTAACGGATGTTTGGTCGTGCGCACAAGTCGACACTTGTTAGCTGGCTTTTCCGAGAGTAGATCTGAACATCAAAAGTCTCTCTTGATCTTTCACTCTGATGACTGAAAATGAGACAAGAGACCACAAGATCATTCGGTTTGGTATGAGCCAAGAGACGGTCGGTTGCATTTCGCAATTCGTGAACAGGTCACCGTACTGGCAACCGGCCATTCGCATTTAGACCCACAAGCCATCGTTTGCGATTCGCCAGGCAAGACGCTCTCAAGGAAGTGTCGCGTGGCTCACCGCTTGCTGCATCCTTATCTGTTGTGCCTGAGTCGCCTGACGCTCTCAAAGGTAGTACCAGATCCCCGATTTTCGGCGTGAGCAGCGTCAGCCGACATAGCAAGCCCGTAAATGGAGGTGCTAGCGGAAGCTAGGCCATGACAGGACCACGGGCGTTGGATGGAAAAGCGGTATCAGAATGTCCTACGGGCTTTCAGATATCGATCTGGGTGTTGAGACCTGAAGATGCTCGGAACGGAGCCTTGTGCGCAGGTTCAAAGCGACGGATGTCAGCTTCGGCACAGCTTCAGACGAAGAGAGTTGGACGAGCTGGACCTTCCATCTGCGGTTGAAGAGACCGAGTGGCGGCGGCTGACTGGTGATGTGCACCACTTGCGTCCTTGCGAGACTCCTATCAATGGCAACCTGGTTCAGAAGAAAGGACGGTGGCGAGGGAGTCGATGAACCGAGAGAATGGGAAACGAATGGAGGCGGGAGTGGCAGCCCCGCCGAAAAGTTCGAATTCGGCTTCTTTTTGGAGGGGAAACTTCTTCTCGTCAAGGATTGGTTGAATGCGGAAGGCGCTAACAAGGGCGGAAGTCGGTCCCCAAAGGCGACTCCTCCGATGGACGACACTCGGTTCGCATACCCTGTCCGTGGGGTCGAAACAATGCTCCAAGCCGACGTCGACTAGAGGAAATATCGCTCACAAGGGCTCCATTGCGGCGACTCGTTTTCCTGCTCTTCATCAGCGGAAACCTTGGAAGAGGAGACAGAAACGACTCGCCAAGGCACCCGTAACGAGTCAGCCCGTTTCCCGACAGTTTCGAGTGGATTTACCTGAGCCGGGCAACCGGTGTCAAGTTCCTGTCACTATCGGTGAATTTCAGATGGATACTGCTGCGCGCCAGGTGGAACCGGCTCTGGGAAGCTTAGACGCGTGATGCTGAGAGGCGACTTCACGCCACGGCCGTGCAGCGAGACGGAAAGACGCACCGGCGGCTGGAACGAGTTTGGTGAATGTTGGAGGGGCCCTCCAGAAACGGGAGGAATTCCGGGCTGCGAATCAGCCCAAGAGCGGACGCAGCAGAAATCCAAGGGTCCAGCCCGTGGCGCTAGCGGGTTGAAGGAGACGGATAGGTGTTGAGCGTAGTGGATTTGTTGGTCTTGGAGGCTCGCAGGCTCAGGTCCCTGCTTACCGCGGCCAGACACTCGGAGGACCCTGCGGTGAGGATCTGTCTGCAGTAGGTGCTGCTCTGCAGGCCGTAGGTACACCGACTTCTAATGTACCGAAAGCTTTGGACTATGTGTATCCCGCATGTGCAAAGCTGTTCGTCGAGTGATCCCCCACGCCAGGTGGTAGGTATGGTAACATCTGGAATGTCGACAGCAGTGAAAGCTTGACTTGATCTTCTTTCTCATTCTTGCCTTCTATCTTTCGGCACCGACATGGCATCAGTTGACTGCCCAGATGGCGGGATGAAGGCTGCTGATGGTGCCACAGAGAAACGACAGTGACTTTGGTTGGGTAAGTGCACGAATTGGACCTGCTGCTCATGTCATGTTCTCGGTCGGCGTTGGCGTTGTGGTGTCAGTCAGCAGAGACCTGACTGGTCCTGCTTGGTGGGGTCAGGATCACCCCGGTTCCACTTATTCATGCCACTGCTGGTCGTGATTGGCGCATGAGGGAAGTCTCTGGACAGCGCTCCGGGCGGGCCCCTCGCTCCCCCCCTCCACAGCGACGTCCCTCCCCCACCTGCCCGCTCTTTCGCCCGGCCACGGGCCACACAGCAGCGATGTGGTGGGTGTTTGTTCCCGCTTGGCCACTGGACGCCGCTGAATCTGTGGTTGTGTCGAGCTCCCAAATGTCTTGCCTGTGGTGTGCTTCTTGATGCAGCCTACTACTTGGTAGCCAGTCTGCAACAGGTCGTTTTGCATGTTGATCAAGGGCTTCTGCTGCCATGTTCTTTTATTCGATCTGTACCCCTGGCCAGCCTTCAAAGTCTGTACTGCCAAGAGGGCCAAACAGGCAGGTAGAGACCGGTCGTCTTGGGCTCTTTGCGGCGGGATTTATGGTCCATGGCTTGCCCAAGACCAGCCGAGAAACCGAGGGCCTTTCCGTCTGGCCAGTGGCCACCCACCAGATCCAATGATCCGTCAACTAGAAGACGCACCAAGGGCATTTGGCAGCTGTGAGTGGTGGGTGTAAGGCGAGCCGGGATCCATCGATGCCCATCGATAAGGAGGGACCCTGTTTCGCAGACTGGAAGGGGGTGGGAAGGCCGTTTTGTGCATCCGTTCTGAGCGCGTTTTAAGCTTCACCTCCCCTTACCCTGCGGCGTGGTGTATGGTGGGTGGTGTATGTACGCAGGATGTACGTATGCTATGCTAGGTAGGCGAGGCAGCAAGTCGGCCGTCTTGGGAGTGGTTTGCGTTGTTTCCACTCTGCTGTTTCTTCTCTTCGTGTTCTTTTTCTCTTCGACCCTCCCCTTCGTGTGTTTCCCATATTTTCCCATCCTCCGAGGAAAATCTTCTTCCTATCTCAACTTCCCACTTTACACACCACAACATCCCCAGCCTGGTGCTCGTGTGACCTCTTTGCAAGAACCAGAGGCCATGATATCTTGAGCTTCGGTGTGCCATGTGCTCCGCCCCATCCCGTAGGTACCCTTCCTCCAGCCTTCTGCTGCATAGTAAAAGCTCCACACCCCGCTATCTGCTGACCTCCATTATCGATAGCCGGCTCTCACCCGTCCTGATAGCAGATCCCCATCCAAGTCCCCTGGCCTCACCCACCCCTCCTCCAGCGCCTCAAGACCACAGCCTTTTCCGGTTCTTCGCGCTCGCATGTCTCATTTTCTTTTCTAGAGACCGATCCGTCTGTCGAGCTGCTTCATCCAGTTTCTCAGATCTGCTCCGACACACCGACTATGAAATAAGACCGTCCACCGGCTGTTCCGAGCGCTCTGCCCTCAAGGGTCGAAGTGGACCTCCGAGCTCCAATTCCCAGTACACTTCCTGCTACTCAACTGCCCCGCGCGCCACACAACCGCCGGGGAAGCACGGAGGATACGAGACGACGCATTGTGATTGCCGACTCGAGAAACGTTTTGAAAATTAGGCTTTGTTGCTGCAGTTAGACACCGCAGTCTTGGGTCTTTTTCTGTTGACCCAACTTTTTTCTTTTCCATGTATTCCCGCCCGACAACTCTATTGCGCCTCTCAACCATGGCCGATACCTTGGGGTCAACTCCAATGGAGGTTGTCGACGAGCAGGGCCCCGGCCTCTCAGAGCCAACGAACAAGGGCAGGAACCGGCACCGAGTGCTCTGTGGCATTCAGAGAATGTCTTCCTCACCATCACTTCCTCGAAATGGCCGTGCCAGATCACAGAGTAACCCTCAGCGAGGGCGAGCGAGCATCTCCTGCGTTAGCTTGGCAGGACCATCAACAGCCGGAAGCTCTTTTGGGGGCGACTCTTACTTCCCCGCAGGAGCAACAGCATCCGGATACGCCAGCGCCTCGAGTTCTGTTCCGCCGACGCCGTCCAGCGAGATCATCCAATTCGAAGGTATCGACGGCCGCCTTGCTGTTCGGAGGGTCGACAATGCCATTTCTACAGCGCAGTCTCCCGGTCCCCAGTCGATCGGCCTTCCCAGCGACCTGCGGACGACGAGCAAGATGCAAGTCGCGAATCCGGCGGTTCCCAAACGGGACTTTGACTTTTGGGAGAACATGCCCCACGAAATGCGTGTTCAAATATTTTCTTACCTCTCGCCAAAGGAGTTGGTGAGGACCTCTCGTGTAAGCAAGATGTTCTACAAGATCTGCTTCGACGGGCAGCTTTGGACTTGCTTCGACGCAACCGAATTTTACCAGACGATACCGGCCGAGTCTTTGGCAAGAATTATTGTCGCCGCGGGACCTTTCATTAAAGACCTCAACTTGAGAGGCTGCGTGCAGGTTGAGCACTACAAGCGTGCCGAGGTGGTTGTCAAGGCTTGTAAGAACCTTGTCAATGCCACTCTCGAGGGATGCCGGAATTTCCAACGAAACACCCTCCACAGCTTGTTGAGGACAAACGACAAGCTTGCAAATCTTAATTTGACGGGTTTGACTGCAGTCACCAACATGTCCTGCAAAATCATCGCCGAGTCATGCCCGCAGCTCGAGATGTTCAACGTATCATGGTGTGTGCACATGGATGCCCGGGGAATTAAGACCGTATTGGAAGGTTGCCCAAAGTTGAAGGACCTGAGGGCTGGGGAAGTTCGAGGCTTCGACAACTTGGAGGTGGCCGAAACACTCTACAATACCAACAGCCTGGAGCGGCTGGTGTTGAATGGCTGCGCAGAGCTCAATGACCGGGCACTCAAGATCATGATTCACGGAGAAGATCCCGAAATCGATATTCTTACGGATCGACCAGTCGTACCCCCGAGGAAATGGCGTCACCTGGACCTCAGTAGATGCGGTCGTCTCACAAACCAGGGAGTGAAGGCATTGGGATACAACATTCCGGATCTACAAGCCCTGCGACTATCCGGTTGCACCGCCTTGACCGACGCAGCACTCGAGTCCATCTTCGCATCGACCCCGCGCCTCACCCACCTCGAAATGGAAGATCTTTCAGATCTTACCAACAGCCTTCTTTCGGAGCATTTGGCCAAGGCGCCGTGTGCACCGTGGCTGGAGCATCTCTCGATCAGCTATTGCGAGAACCTCGGCGACAGCGGCGTACTGCCCATCGTAAAGAACTGCACCAACCTGAGGAGCATTGACCTGGACAACACCCGGATCAGTGATCTCGTTCTCGCTGAAGCGGCTTACATGGTCAACAATCGCTCCCAATGCACCGCGAAGAAGCCGAAGCCCAAGGTCGGCCTTCACATGGTGGTTTACGACTGTCAGAATGTCACCTGGACTGGCATTCGCGAGGTTCTCTTCCGCAACGCTCAGTCAAAGCCTTCTACGTCAGAACCCGGCAAACATGCTTACTCCGGCGAGGCAATCAGCCTCAAATGCTTCTACAAGTTCCAGATGACCGTTGATGAGCACATGAAGCGCGTGGTCCGGGGAGACCTCGCCGCGGCCAACCGCCTCGAGCGCCGCTGGGGCGAATATATGCAGGCTACCGAGGAGGCTGGCACCACTGGCGCCGGACATCGCCGTCGCAGACGCCGTGCCCGGGAAGCCCAGATGCTCCATGCCGACGAGGAAGACGGCGGCAACGGTGGTCGTCGCCGGGGCCGGACCGTCGGATCCTGCACAGTTATGTGAGGATGCCGCTACAGTCTATTCTGCGCCTAGAATGTGAAGGAGAATGAAGTTCCGGTGCTCCCCCCTATCTCACACATTTCCTCTGTTATCAGTATATACTCATCCCTTGGAGTCAAAGCGACACGTCACTTCATTATTAGATTGGGATGCATCGACCCATTCAAACCACCTCGCACCAGCGTGCGAGAGTGTCTCGAAGACGGCGTCTCACATTGGATAGGCGTCCTTCTTTTCCTATCTTTCCGTGCTGTTAGTCATGAACGCACACATTTTCTTTTTATGGTGTTTGGGATGGGTCGGGAAATTTTGGGCTTAGGACGGTTAAAGAGTGCAGGATCTCTTTTTTGGTTCCTATTTTTTTTTTGGAATAGATACAGACTGTGGAGCATGCATGCGCATGCCATTTGTATCTATGATTGGAATCTGGGGCTATTTCAATTTGAACATATAAAATGTCCACACAAACCATGCCCCTAATGCTGTTGATGTTTGAACCGTCTCATCGCTGCTGGTATGCTGCGGAAGAAGCAAGACAACGAGTCTATATTTAGTCCGAGCCGTGCTGGCGGATGTACCTCCGGATCTTCTCCTGGAAGACATCGTCCTCGTCGCGCCTGTTGTCACCCTCCATGACGTACATGTCTTCGTCTTCGTCCTCCTCTTGCTCGCGCAGGTCAAACTCCTCGTCGTCCGACGCATTGGCATTACGGAAGAGATAGGCGTGGCGATCGTACTCATCCTCCGAGTCGACCTCGTCCTCGGGGTAGTCTGCAGTGTAGTGGTTTTCCGCTGTTATACAAAGTCAGCACAAAGTCCCTCTCCTGATGTTCAAGTATATAATCCTTACCGTTCTCATCCTCGTCATCGTCGTAGTCCGAGTCGTCCTCCTCTTCATTCCCGTAAAACAGCTCCATATCTTCCTTGGTATCGAACCGCAGCACGCCAATCTCCTCGGGCGGGATGTTCGCCAATAAGGGCTTGGACGGCGCGAGCTCATACACTTCAATGACGTAGTCATCATCGTCGTCTTCGGCCTCGCTGGCGTCCGTCATGGACTCGTCACGGTCTTTCCCGCCGTCGAGCTCTTTTGCCAGCTCGGGGTGCCGTTCGGCGAAGCGCTTGACGGGGGCCTTGGGCTTGAACCGCGATGGCGAGGAGGCTGTAGCAGCAGGAGCAGCAGGAGCCGCAGGAGGGGCTGGATTTTGTAGCTCCATCGACTTGAGGTTCAGTCCGATCTCGTGGAGCACCCACTGGTCCATGTCGGCGGCGATCTTACTCATGTCCTGGGTGGGCGCGACGCTGGGCAGGGGTTTGCGCTGGGACTCGACATCGGGACGAGGGGCAGAAGGGCGTTTGGTCTGGGGTTTCTTGGGCGCCGGCTTGGCGTCGTCGCCCATTTCGACCTCCGGAGTAGAGATAGCGGCGGCGTGTTTGGCGTCGAGGGCCACGGAGAGCCTTTTTGATGCCTTCTTCTTGCCTCGCTCGACGAAGACTGCTGTTCCGTAGCGGCCGCGCTTGGTGACGCCGCCGGCTTTGAGGATCGTGCTACTTGTCGGGGAGCTCATTGCCGAACGGGACATGTGGAATCGTCTGGGCTCGGCCGCGGGGTTCGCTGGTCGCTGAGCAGCGGAGGAGGTGGCCGGGGCCGGGACCGGTGCCTCGGTGGCGGGGGGGTTATCGGTCGCAGCAGCATTATCGGGCGCAGGCTGAGCGACGGGCTTTGCGGGAGAGCGGCTCGAGTGCGGGAGCTCGTCGCCGGGCTTGGAGGTCTGGATCACAGGCTTGGTCGGGGAGTGGTGTAGAGAGCCTGCGCCGGATCTTGAACTCGACTTTGCTGGTGCTATGCGTCGTCGGTAGACCCAGCTGCTGCCACTTTGGTGTCGTTTCGCTGACTCAAGCTCTGTCGCTTGTCAGTCTGCGCGCTTCAACACATCAGACAAAGGAGGCAACGTACGGAGGTAGGTAACCGGCGCATCTTCGTCGCCCCGCTTCCGCTTGATGTGGATCAAGTGAGGAGGGGCAGACATGTTGACAAGAAGACGACGGGCAGCGGTAGAGATGCGGTTACGGGCTACTGTGTGGTAGATGTTTGAACGAAGAGATTAGAATGTTCGTGGCAGCTCGAAACTGGATGTCCCCGCTTCGGTGTCTGGCTATGCCACGTCAAACTTCATGCGACGATGTTGCTCTTCTTTTTTTTTTCTCGCGAGATGGATTTTTCTGGAAGCCTGCCGCACCAGCTGGACGGCAGCACGTCAAAGGATCCATCTCAGATAAGGCGAGCTTATCGGTGGGGTATGTCATTGGCCAGGAGATTGACCGCCTTTGGCAGAATTGTGCAGGCGTCCGGGGGTGATCCCAGCCTCTCCGGGCTGTTGGCTGCCATTGCCGGCTTGGGGAAAGAAGCCCCGCCTTGCGACGATCAAGCTAGGAGCTTCGCTTCAAGACTGCTTGAGCACTCGGTCAGACAGATTGTCAATGCCACTGGACGATAAGAACCAGAGCAGCGCATTAAATGGGACAGAAGAGCCGAACGGGCTGTGGGCAGCTCAAACTCTTTGGACGCGGGATGGCTGGCAACCAGGACAAGGGTCGTCCGGCCGAGACCTAGAGAGCTTGTGAAGATTGCTATGATGGTGAGCTCGATTGCGTCTGAAACCACCCGGTTCCTTCCATTGAGAGTTCTTTGCCTAGGGCCTTTTGAAAACTGCGATGTGCTGGCAAAGTCGAGGCGTTGCTTGATTTTCAGCCTTCGTGATGGCTGCAATGCGATTTGGCTGGCAGAGCTGCAGTGGCTGAGCACCGGTGGCTTGTAGCTAGGAAACGCAGCAGCGAATCCGGCTAAGCAGACGAACAGCTTGTTTTTGCTCTCTTTTCTTAGGCGGTTATTTAGATGGGATTTTCATGCCGACATTGCCCATTCCACACGATGCTCTGGCATGATGGAGGTGGCTGATAGCTTCCCCGGGGGGCGCTTCTGGAGGTCTCGGTGTCTGGGGCGTTTGTCCCGGTCTGGGCCTTTCCATTGGGACCCGCGAGTCGGTGGGGCAAAGCCTGGCTCGTGCATTGCGGGAAAGTCCCCAGTACCTTGGAAACATGGACAGCCACAGCCAATGGGCATGTTCCCGCAACTCCCCAGCTCGGGACATGTCCAGGGATGGTGACGCAAAAAGCATGCCGACGGAGGCAGTGAACGGGTAGGATTTGCCTGTTCCATTGCTGATAGCCCGCTACTGGCTGCTGTTTAGTAGCTCCATTATTGGAGGGGGGAGCTTCTGATCCTTTTTTGTGCAGATGTAGTTGCAGTTGCAGCTGTCCGGGTGGCCGGCGTCAACAGAATTGGAGCGGCGAAGGGAGGTCGTTGACAATCTCGTCCCATACCTCAGCGTCATTCTTTGCCTGTCCCAGGTTTCGCGGCAGTCATGGGCCATCAAGCTCGTATGAGGAGGCAGTTTGATGGCCGCCACAACAAGCAATAGGTCCAGTTTCTCTTTATGTACGCCTGGGTATTGTTTCTCAATCTGCAATTCACTGGACCATCCCATCTCGCCTCGTTACTACCCTTAGCTGAGCCAGACTGCTAGGTTGGAGCGAGTGCTGGTTTCTGCCAGCCACACCTTCCCAACCTCTCTTCCCGTATTCCCCCTCTTGCCTTACTCAAGTCTTCCCCTTCCCCAACACACGTTGGACAGAGCACCCATGGCATAATCATGCAATGGACCCCTCCTGTGCCACAGCTTCCCTGTTCTAAGCTGCTGCACCTCCCAACGTCAGACACCAATCTTCCGGCTTCTGATCTCCCTGCTATCTGAGCTCCCCTCGCCTTGGCTGATCAAGGTGGCATTTGCTCTTCCGGTCCGTACGTCGTATCTCTCCTGTCCCACGGGTAAGTTCATCATTCTGCCCTCGTCTTCTGCCCCTAGGTCAGCTCGTTCCCTCAAAGCTGTTTCACTCGCACAAACACGTAACCCCCGATCCCTCTTCGTTGCGTGAAACACTCAGACACGAAGACTCCACTTTGAATTCCTCACAAAGAATTGGCCTTGTTTTCGCTTCCTTGCCTTTTTGCTTTTTCCCACGAAGGCAATCCAACGCCTTCTCGCTCCTCACGGCTAGCATCGTAAGGTATCACCCAGAGACAGCCGCATTCGTCAGCGTTTCTACCCACGCCCAACCCAATCCACAACCCGCCACCTTCACCGTGGGCTCCAGGGGGACGGTCTCTATCTCTGCATCTCTTGACGAGTTTTTCCCTCTCCCGAAGCAAGAAAAGTGCCCTTATCTGAACTGACTCTGGAGTGTTGTAGAAGGCAGCAGCCCCCAAACCCAAAATACCCGCCTGCCCGGAAACTGCTCGAATGATCGAGTTGGCGGAGTGATATCGGCCTTCTTCCACACTTCGAACCTTCGCATACCTTGCCGCGGAAACCAGCATCAAAAAATGGTTTCCGTCACCATCTCCTACCGCCAGCCGGGCACCCAGCCGCCCATATTTGTTGCGGGCTCCTTCTCCGATCCGCAATGGCAGCCTCTTGAGATGCAGTTCACCACCGACGAGGGAGGAGAGCATACATTCTTCAAATCCGTCGAGGTACCGCCAAGTTCGCAGATCCAGTACAAGTTTCGTGTTGGCCTTGGTGACTGGTGGGTTCTCAACCAAAGCGCTACTACAGGTAAGGTCTCTCTAGCTCCGATCCCATCCGCATCTCGCCTAACATGACGTGACCCTGCAGTGACCGACGACTCTGGCAACCAGAACAACGTCCTGACGGCCCCGGCTTCTCAAGAGTTCACAGAGATGAACGGTGTAAAAACCAACGGCGAGCAACAGAACCACCAGACGGACTCAAATTCTACCAAGATGGATGCCTCAACTATTGCCGCTACCCACTCGACTGCTCAGCTTGAGCCGAAGCCTAAGATGATCGACCACCTGAAGGACGAGGAACGGCAGCGACTTTTGTCGACCCCGATTGGAAAGGTTGCAGAGACCGCTGCAGAGGTCGCCGACACTGCCGAGAAGCTTGATGCCGAAGACAACACGGCCCGCCTTACACCACTTGCCCGTATCAAGGATGAGGAGAGAAAGCGTCTTTCTTCGACTCCGATTGAGCAGGTGGCTACTACCGCGGCGGAGGTTGCTGATACGGCAGAGATGCTGGACGCTGATCAGGTATGCACTTCTGGCAAGATGGCAGGCGACGTAAGACCTCAGGGCTAACACAGCGTAGGACTTTGACGACAAGGATCTGGCGGACGACGGTCCTCCGCCTCTGTTCGCCCACGAAGCTCTCGGCCCGTACGAGCCACCGAGTGATAGTGAGGATGCTACGAAGGAGTATGAGCACCACGGCACTGTTGAGTATGACGTCGACAAGTACGACTTGAACGACCCGGCTCTAGAGAGACTGCCGTCAAAACGCGAGGAGATTCTGAACACCGTTCGAAACGTGGAAACGGGCCGCAACGAAGACCAGACGTACTTCCACGGCACTCCCATGTCACCCATTGTCGGATCAAGAAAAGCAGGCCTCGACCCATACGAGGAGGCCGTGATCTCGCCAGGCCCCTCTAGTCCAGGTGTAGGCAAGAAGCTCGAGCTGCCTCGGAAGAAGCAGGGCTCAATGGTGTCGGAAAGATCTCTCGCTTCCTTAGGCTCGATCGTCGAGGAGGAGGGCAAGGACTCACCTGGGTTGGATGAGGCGAACCGCGAGACCGAAGGTCCCGTCCGCGTCCCTAGCCCCGCAGTCCGCCCAACACCTAACGTCTTCAATTCTCCCGCTAGTGACGAGGACGAGGGAGTCGTTATGAAGGGCTCCAAGTCGAAGCCAAAGAAGAGCGGCGAGCCTGGCAGATCAGAGTCTCCCGACTACAACGGTAACACCAACGGCAAGCATTCGAGAGACCTCTCCCCGAAGACGCAGCCCGCACAGCCGGACAGTCCGAGCATCCATGTGCAGCCCCCCGACGACGCAGCCGAGTCCAGCAACGCCGCTGCCTCCAACTCAGATGGAAAAGCCTCGACGACTGCCCGAGACGAAAGCCACAAGGGGCAGCTTAAGAAGCGCGGAGGAGCCTCATCGACCGACCGCCCGGGAACCCCCTCGTCCATACACAGCGTCGCCGATAGCAAGGGCAACTGGCTTTCGGCCTTTTTCCGCGTACTCTTTGTTGACTGGATCGGCGGTCTGTTTAGCCGGTTGTTCGGCAGCAAGAGAAAGGCGTAAGGTTTTCTCACCTCCTTCCCGGTTCTTGAAAGATGAAGAGAAGAAGACTGCCTGCCGATGATCAGGCTTTTGCTTGTTTTTCCTTTTGTTTTTATGTTTTAATACTCCTCACGAAATCTGACAGGTTGACTTTTGTCCGCAGGATGCTGGCCACGAGCACGGCTGCCATCGTTGCCGGGGTTGCATGGTGGAAGTTCGCCTTGGACGGCGACCTGAGCTGGCTTGAGACGCGGCTCGCCGCCCTTTAGAGTCAGGGAGTGGAGATCGACGTCTCGCTTACACGAACATGTTTGTACAGTTAATCGAGATGGCATTGGTATTTGAGGGTGGGATTAGAGTGGGATGGACTATGCCCCTCATGAATCTGGGGTGGGATATGGACAGCTTGCACACAGAAAACACGCATTTGGACCGCAATCGAGAACCCAGACTTTGAAATCAATGCTTCGCATGTATGCTCGCTGTATAAAGGGGTCATGCCAATCTGTGTGACTGCGAAGAGGAGCGGTGCCGGCTCATATCACTCTCCAAACGGCACCAGCCCTCGGGGTATCTCTCTTGCCGCCGTCATCCCCTTGCCTGTTCATCTTCTTGATCCACTCCGTCTCCCTCTGCACAGCAGCGGCCTCAATCTCCTCCATGACGGCCAGCTCGCCGACCATATCCTTGATCAAGCTCTCGCAGCCGTCCAGCATCCTCTTCAGACTGGACGTCTGCGCCACGTCCTCCGCTTCTTCTTCTTCTTCGCCGTCGTACGCCAGCTCCTTCAGCTGCAGATCCCAGCCCTCGAGACGGCGGACGAGGAGGGCGCACTCCTCCTTCCAGCGGGCGTCGAGGCCGCCGCCGAAGCGGACCTCGAGGTTTGCGTCGAGCAGGGCGGCGGGGTCCGAGTCGGGGCCGTCTGCCCTCGCCCGCGCGGCTTCGAGGTCGGAGAGGGACGAGGCCCAGCGCTCGAAGGCGCGGACGAGGCGGTTGTGTTTGCCGCCGGGGGAGTCGAGGGACCAGAGGGACGTGAGGAGGGCGTCGAGGCGTTGGATCTTTTCCTCGAGGAGGCCTTTTCTGGGGGTGGCCCAGCGGTGGAGGGCGGCTACGTTGAGGCGTTCTGCGGCGTCGGCTTCGAGGGACACGAGGTCCTTTGAGGAGGAAGCGAGGGCGGCGTGGAGGGAGGCGAGGTAGGACCGGGCGGAGGCGTGCCATTGGGAGGTTGTCGTGGGGAGGTCGCGGTGGAGGACGTGTAGTTGGAGGAGCTCGGTTTGGAGGCGGGATGTTTCGGCGGAGAGGGCGACATTTGTGGGGAGTTTGGAGGGGGAGGGGGGCGCGAGGTAGGTTGCTGTGAGGGGCTTCGGGGCGAGGTTCTTTGCGGGGGAGTAGTGCTGCTGGAGGGTTGTGAAGGCGGGTTTGAGGAGGGGTTTGTTCCGTGGGGGGGATCGTGGGGAGCGCGGGGAGGCGGGTTGGGAGGTTTGTTGTTGCTGTTGACGGACGGGAGGTTTCGGGTGCCGGGGGGAGGTTGGAGTGGTTTGTTGGCGAGTCGGTGGTTTGGAGGGGGGTTTGGTCGAGGCGGTCGAGCCGGCGCGGGTTCGGGTCGAGATGCTCGCGACGGAGGGCTTGTGGGTGAGGTTCGTGGTCGAGGCCGTGGCGGTTGAGGTCGTTGAGGTCGAGGAGCCGGAGCCTGGGCGCGGTGGTCTGGCGGGGTCTTGTGCTGCTGCGGAGCCGGGGCGTCTGGCGGCTGCTGTGGAGGAGGCGAGAGAGGTTGTGGAGGTTGACGGGGCGCCGTAGAGGGACGTCGGACGGGGTTTCGGCGCCGTGGACCTGGACGTCGTGGAGGATTGGTTCGGAGGAGGGAGAGTCGTGCTTCCGTTGAGAGTTGCCACGCTCCGCGCGCGGGTGTGGCCTAAGCCTGGGCCCGTGGAGGACGTCGGCGTGGTCCGCTTCTGGGCGAGGCCGCTCGATGTTGTTGGTCGCGTGCTGCCGCTGCCGCTTGTTCCCGGGAGGTTACTCGTTGAAGACGCGGCGGGGTTGCGGAGCCTGTTCAGGCCTGCGGTCGGCTCGCGGGTTGACGAGGTCCGGGTGGGAGCGTTCGCCGTCCGCGATGACGGTGCGGTGGTGGAGGAGGACGAAGCATCTTTGCGGGCGGCGGTCTGGCGTGTGGAGGAACCGCGGGAGAGCAGCGAGGACAGTGCCGAGGGCTTCTTCTTAGGTGCGGCGGCGGCTGCGGTGTCGTTCAGGCTGCCGGAGGAGACGTTGCGGGTGGTCGGGCGCGTCGGGCGCGGGGCGGGGAGGCGGCTTGGAGAGACATTTCGCTGCGGAGCGGTGGAGGAGGAGGAGAGGTCTGTTGGTTTGCGGAGGGAACGGCTGCGGGCCAGCGAGGAGGACATTTTTGTGGCGGTCACATTCGACTGTGACCAGTGGAGGCGTCGGGCTCGGATTCGTGCGCCGGGTGAGGGCGAGAATTGGATTCTGGCATGCGATTTTTCGCGATGAGGTTGAAGGGGAAAACGGGCCGTGGTGTTGATGTTGATCTCAGGGGGCGTGGTGGTGTTGGTGGTACTTGCGGTGTGGGGGTTGCTACGGGGGTGCGGACGACCCACCTCCAGAAGCCGACGTCTGTGGGTGGAGACCCGGGGGACGGCAGATGGCAGGGTACCTGGGCGCGCGGACGTGTGTTGGTGGGAGAGGTAGTATCGCAGTAACGTGGCTCCGAGACAGTTGGAGTCTATCGAAAATCAAGCCGCCGGCTTGCATGCGCCCCTGATTAGCTTCCCGACGCTCGGGCTGGGTGGGCTTGCTTCCCTCCCTTTGCATGTTGGGACGTCGAGTCGGGGGGGACGAGGGGAACGGGCTGGCCCGACCGACGCCTTCTTCCGTTCGTCATTCGGGTTCGGAGGGATGGATGCTGGCGCCTATTCGTATGGCACCTTACGATGAGCGCAATTTCCGGCGCATCCGTGGGAAAACCATCCGCAACGCAGGTTTTGTCGGGGGTTAGCGTTCGCGACGCGCAGAGGAGGTACGGCAGGTCTCAGAGCTATTTTCGTCGTGCGACGGACAGGTGGCCCAAGGCAAGGCATGCTCATGCTGCCCGCTGGACTCTCGTTGAAGTTGCACACATCTCACGCGCGAAAAAGGGAGCTGCAGATACGGTTGTTTCAGAACTTTGATTTCGTTTAAAATTTTGAGCCTCTAAACCATGGAGAGAGGGCCAACATCGCATGTGCCCGATCCTTTTCGTCTCGTTATCAAGCTTTCCGTCGTATGCCCAGAGCCTGCTTCAAGCAAGTAATAAACCTTGTGTGGTTGAATCTTCCTCCTTTGAACAAAAAAGGCGGGAAGAGAAGAAGAGAAAATGAAAGAAGAGTTGTGGGAGGTGTGGCTTCCCCGCGCTATACACAACACACAACACCCAAATCATGGGGAGAAAGGGTATCAACCATGCGATCTCTGTCTAGTTTCCACAAACGAAGTTTTTTGGTTTCCTGGGGGTCCATGTAATGCAAACCGTCTTCAACCAAATGCCGTCCAAATTCCCTAGTCCAAAGGGGGGGGGAGAAGAAGTGAATTAATGATGCTGGTGATTTCTTAGGCTGCGACCATCTGAGGGTGGTACGGCTGCTGATGGTGATACTGCTGTCCATCGGCAGGCTGTTGTTGCACAGTCAAGTGCTCTTCCGATGTGGCTGCCTCGTTGCTGTTGTTGGCTCCGTCAACGTCGCCGCTGCTCTGCGGGTTGCTCTCGAGGTGGGCGAGGAGCTGGCGGAGATCTCTGCCGTTGCGGTTGAAGACGGTCAGACACGACGCGCACATGCGCACATAGCACCACTGGCACTTGAAGCGGTCCTCGGTGTCGGCCTTGCCGCAGGTCTGGCAGCTGAGGGCGTAGTTGCGGTTGCGGGTGCGGTCGACGGTGCGGTGGCGGGCGTAGCAGTCGAACATGCTATCCTTGATGGGGCGGGCGCTGTACACGATGGACGGGCTGGGCGGCTCCGGGGTGGTGATGGGGAAGAAGGACGCGCGCGGGTCGGCGGGCATGTCTTGCTGCTCCTTTATCTCGCGGTACTCGACGGGTTCCTGGCCCGGTCGCTGGTCCCGGCGCATGTCGCCACCCTGCGCAGCATACTCCCGAGCTGCAGGAAGCCATTGACCCCTCTGCTGCTGTTGGGGTGGCTGCTGCTGCTGCTGATTGGACGAGTTGCGAGCAGGGAACTGGCCCTGTTGCGCCTCCGGGCTGATGGGACTGACGGCGAAGTCTCTGGTGATGGTCGGGGGAGCCTCGCTGTTGGTTGTGGGCGGGTCGACACGCATCTGCGGGAGGCTTTTTGCATTATGGACGTTGTTGCGGTCCGTTGTGACTGCCTTGCGCGGGACGGGCTGCTGCGGCTGCTGATTCTGCTCGGCAGCGGCGGGCTCCGGGGACGAGGCCGGGGAGATGGGCGAGACGACGGTGTCGACGACGGGCGCCTTGACGTCTTCCTTCTCGTAGTCGGGCGTCGGCAGGCGCTGGGAGGGCGAGAGCGCGGTATCGCTGTGTGAGGCTCCGACGTTCGCGCCGTTAGTCTGATTCTGCCCGCGGACGTGCGAGACCTTCTCGCGCAGTCGCGACGCCTCCTGGCCCATTTCTTCTGTCGGTTCTTGCGTGGAGGGCAGGTTCTGGAGATGAATGGGCCGGATATTCCTGCCGGGGAGCCCGGAAGTAGAGCGAGGGGGGAATTGTTGCTGTTGCTGTGGTTGCTGCTGCGCAGGGGGAGGAGGAGCCGCGGTTGACGATGGTTGCGCGGTGTTTGGTGTAGAAGCAGCAGTCGACCCATGACTTACTGCCAGTTTTAGATCGGGTACCTCTATATTGCGGTCAGATTTTACAGATCTCCTCCTCCAGAGAGGCCTTTGCTGCTGGGACGAGGTGGATGTGAAGCTGGTTGGGCTGTCACCACCGCCAGCCGCTGCCTTTGCCGGAGGAGGAGGGCCCTGCTCGCGGGCATAGGCAGGAGACGGCGGCAGGCCTTTGTTGTGTGTGAGGTTTGGTGCGCCGAGGCGGGAGTAGGAAGCCTCATTGTCGACGGATGACACTGAGGTGGGCGTCAAGACCTTTGCCTCTTTTGTTGTCCCCTCATGGTCAGAGGGAAACATCGGGGCCGAGTCTCGCTGGGTTGATGGTGACTTGGCCATGAGGGACTCTCCTGAACTCCTCGAGTACGCCGACAGCAGACTTCCGATAGATCCAGTGGGCGAGTGTTCCTCTGGCTGGGGCTTGGGAGGGGCGACAGGCTTCGTTGCGGCGACTGGGCGGCGGGCTATGTGCATCTTGGGGAGCTCTTTCGTCTGAAGGGGAGGTAGAGGCGGAAGAGACTGGTTGAGGGGTTGCGGCGGCGGCAAAGGTTTGTCGGACATGGCGGGCGACTTTGGCGGAGGGGATCGTACTGGGACACGAGGTATCGAGGGAAGTCTCTTTATGACCCTGTCACCGACAGAAGGAGAAGAAGGTTGAACGGGGTCCGGCGGCGGAGGTGGAGGGTTGGGTAAAGCTTTTGAGAAACGAGACCTCCCCTTCCTGGAGGAGGAACGGAGGAAGTCCATATGCATGTTGTGAGGGGCTCTTTGGCTATAATTGGGATGATTCCGTTCCCCCTTCCCCTATGCTACCTTGCCTCGCCTCTCTCTAGGCCTCTCTGGCTGTGACTGCGGCGTCGGATTTTGCTCTGCGTCTCCCAGATTCTTACCCAATCGGCTGGGAAGGAGAACCAAGCAGGAGGGGGGAATCAAGGAACCAAATTGACCCAGGCAGGCCGGTGGGACTCGACAACGTGGGACGAAGGAGGAAGGACGGAAGGCTATTGGAGCGATGGCGGTTCGGAGTTGAGCACGACGTTCAGTGCCGTAACATGGTGATGCTGGAAGGTTACCAGCATCAAGGGTTTTGAGGAGGAGGTGTGAGGTGTAGTAGTAAGGAGTACGGAGTAGATGACGAGGATTGCGCGACGAGGACAGCAGCAAGTGCCTGCAGGATATGTGGAGGAGGGGAGATGCTAGAGGAAAAGAAACTCGAACGGCGTTCGCAGTAACAGGAGGTCGATGATTGGAACTTGGGACTGGGAGTGGGAGAGAGGGGGGCGAGGATGAGAACAATGACACCAGAGGACGCCGGGGGAGGGGGGTGGAGGGGCGTGTAATTCGGGCCTCAAGTAACAAGTTTAATGCTGGCAGCCACGGACAACCCTGCTTCAAGGATGGGTGGAGGAGGGTCTGGGTCAGAACATTTGACTGTCTTTTTTTTTTCTCTTCGGTGGTCTCCTTTCCTCGGTTTTCGGACGGTGGATTGACAAGGATATGATCTGAATGCGCGTAAAAGCTGGGTGTAAATGGATGCTAATGGAAGAGACTAAAGTACCTTTTTACACTATTTCGGACCATTTGCACGTCTGCAACGTGTTGGATGCTATGGCCATGTTGGCACTGGAGCTGTTCTTAGCGTGCAGTGCGTGCCTGTCCAGCTCAGTAAGGATGCGGCGGGATTCCCGTCGCCATTGGCTCCGTCAGATTGGAACCGGCCCCTCCCAGGTGCAGGCTCAGGTGCAGAGCAAGGCCAGCCTCTTTCTGTCTGCAACCTTGAGACTTTCCCATCGGCAGCCCTGCAATTGAGAAAAGAGCTGCACGCCGGAAACTCAGGAACAGGTGCTCCTGGCCCCGGTGCCGAGGCGGGGCTGGGAGGCTGTTCGGGGCTGGTGCAGCACTTTCAATGCACACTCTCACATCGCGCTGTCCATTCGGGGTGCCGATACTGACATCAGCCACCCACTGACAGCACCACCGCCCGCCACGCCACATCGTCGTCCATGAACATCAGACAGCACAGCCAGCCGGGCATCGCATCCCACGGACATCCAGCAACACGTTTCCAGCACCTCCAACACCTCATCAAGCCCCGAAAGCTATTCACTCATGCAAGCCATTCCTGAACGCACCATCCCCTCTCGAAGCAGCCAATACGGCGCGCCCTCTTCTGCGCTCCATGATTCACTTTTCATCTCCAATCTTAATCCTGCGTGCTTCGGCCTCTGTCAACTTCAAGACACTAATAAAAACAGAGAGACACGCTGACTGACAGACATGGATGCAGCAGCAGACGGACAGACAGCAGACAGACTGCCACTGGCAGCCTCTCACTCACCCTCTATCTCTCTACGCACCCCTCCCGTCCGTCAATACTTGGCAGAGACCGGCGGGTGCCAAGTTCCCAGGCTGCTGCCAGCAAGCATTCCCATCTCGATTCTCGATAGGCTGAAACCGCCTGCCGCTAAATAGGAGAAGAGAAAAAAGGGTCTTCCTTGCCGGGCCTACGTTTAATCACCACGGATCGCATGTCGCAATTGTCAAGAATGCGACTTGTCACGAGTAAACCGTTCGAAATGACCATCTTCAGTCTCTCAAGTCCACAATGCGGTCTAGATGACGCCATGCCGCGGCCAGCCAGCTACCACCGCCAGCATCACCAACTGCATCGTCGAGCAAACAATCCGATGCCTAATTACTCGTCCGAGCCTTGAAGTCGGCTGGCCGGCGTTGGATGACAATGGTCGTTTGCAGCCCGCACGCCAATTTTGGGGGCGCCAGCCATCAGCGTCTCTAGCCCGACGCGCCGCGTATGATACTGACAACAACGTCGTATTCGATTCGGTTGCTGTCTGCATTTGCACCAGAGCAAGCTCTATCGGATGATTACCCTGATGCACTACCACAGAATGCGGCCTGGTGGGCACGAGTATGCAGCCCGAACCACCAAACTACCGTTTGCTGCGTGCGCCTATCGGCCACTGGCCGATTGCAGCCAGCATGCGCAAAATGGCCTGGCCCAGCAGCTTTTCCATGCTGGAATGCGGTAACCAAAGAATGGACCGTTGCAGACTTGGACCTCGCCGCGAACCATTGCAGCTGAACACAGAGGCCGCCTTCCGGCCTGCGGGACGTGGCAGAAGCCAAAGCCGCCTGATGTCTTGGCTGAGCCGTGCTAGGGTTGGAATCGCTTCATTCGTCGACCCTTTGAGCTCTTGCTCTCCTCTTCTGCACTTGCATCTGTCTATCCATCAGCCTAGGGTTCGCCGTCTTCTAGACTCAGATATTGACAGCTGGTCTGCGCTCGCTCGCCGTCGCCGCGCGCCGTTCCAGCAATTTGAGTCAGCCACGGCGGCGAATAGCGATCTGCGCCAGGGAAGCCAACCAGATTGCTAGACACCGGGAGCCCTACGAATGTCTGGGTCGATGATGAGGGTCGCATCTCACTTCTCGAGCCCCCCGCCAGGCAAATCCCCGTCCGGCATCAGAAAAACGGGGGGCGGTGCCTTGCCTTGCGGCTCGCTAAGCCCAGCAGCAGACGCCTGCCGAAGCCTGCCCTTCACCCCCTGAGCGAGGAATACGTTTGGAAAGTGAGGTGAAATCCAAGTCTGATGAGCATCGGATCGCCCCTGAGAAGCGCACCGGCACCTGGACGGCCTCACAGATCAGTCAGCGCCGCAAACCGGGCAAATCAGACGTGTGCCTGGCGAAGCTGAGCACGGCAGGGGGCTCGCTGTTTGCATGAACGGGTTTGAGCCATTTGACTTCTCGGTCGTCCAAGTCTCACAAGCATGCCCCGGGCGCGTTCTGGTGGATACATCAGACCGAAGGCGCCGTGCTTTCCCTGCGACCTGTGCATTCACCCACCCCTGAATTCGATGACGACGGAAGGTCGGTTCCCGCCGCCCAGGTACACAAAGTTGGGACGACACGAGAGATGGTAGACGCACCGTCGTTGCACCGATGCCACTATTCAATGCTGAGAGTTCAGAATAAGGGCGGAATATTCTTCATCGCCAGACTGCAGACTTCGCGAGAGTTGCACCGCAGACGAGAAGCAATACCGCGGCATCGTGCCGTTACGGGGTTTGTCCTACTAGGTCAAGCGGCCGTTTGATGAAAGGGACGAACGCTTCCAACCTTGGCACGCAAAGAAAAGAAAAAAAGACGCAGCCCATTCATCAAACCAACAAAGGCCTTGTTGACAAAGTCTGTCGCGAGGATTCGAATCCCAACGCGCTCGAGGGGTGGCATCGCAGCATGCAGCCCGCGCCTCCGGGCACCCGCGTCGCGGAAAATTAATTAACATTGAAATGACTTTTGGACCCCTCGCAAGTGTCGATGGAGCAGCTACGCGACGGTTTGTTTCACACCGGCAGGATTTTTAAGATGAGTTACGATCCGCCCATTCCATCCGTCTCTTTTACCCGCCCCGATGTCAGTCGCCTGCCTTACCCGCTGACCGATCAATTGATTGACGAGGTGATTGATCATTGAATGCTAGGGGCTGCGGAGAGATTCGGTCGAAGCCCGCGCCTGGCCGAGATCTTTGGAGTTTGGGGGCGTCCTAGTGGACACCAAGGTGATTTTTGATCTCCGGCGCCGTTGGACCGTCGCATTCTCCCACTTTTGCTCTGCCGCGGCCCCTCAGTTCATGGTTTTCGTGGTTAGCTTCGTTTGCCGGTTGCCGCGGACAGAGTTTTTGCTATCCGTTTAGTTGTACAGAGTTCTGCAGAAAGTTCTGCAGGCCGCATCAGCGCCATAACTGAGGCTATCGCGGCATCTGATACTCGTACAAGCTTCATCCGATTTTCCCAGTCTCAGCGTGGACGGACCGGGAGAGAGATGAGATGAGGCACCATATCTCGTTGAGCCGCGGTGCCAGCAAGCACGTGTGTTATCGCATGCATGGCGTCATACCCGATAGGGGGCGGGCCCCGGCTTATCGCGGGCAAGTCTCCGATGAGCGGCCCCGACGAGGGGAGAGCGATACCGTATGCAGCAGCCGGATTAGCAATCTTTGGTAAGGAGACGACGGGGGGAGCGGAGAGATAGTGGTGCAGAATTGAAAAGAGCGGAGATTGGCGATTGTTGCTTTTGTCGAAAACCAGAGGAGGCGGAAGAAGAAGAAGAAAAGTAGTCTTCAATTTTTTTTTCCAGCATCAATTGACTTCGGCCCCATCTTACAATGACCGGCTTACCGAACGGCGCCTCCGCCCCGTCGGAGACGTCCCCTCTACTGCGCAGCACCGATCCGGGGCCCGTCAACGGTAACGGCAACGGCGCCATTCAAAATGGCGGCGCCGGCCGCGACGACAAGCGGGACGGCAACCCCGAGATGGCCAAAAAGATGCACCTCCTGCTCCCGGCCATCGGCATCGGCGTAGGTCTCACTTCTGCCCCGCAGTCTCCCGCGCGACTCGCATGCTCACCCGGGATATACCCAGATCTACCTCTGCGCCGTGGACCAGCTTCTCACCGTAGCCACATACGCCAAGATAGGCAGTGAACTACACGCCTTGAACAACACGAGCTGGCTGGCGACAGCGTACGTACTTCCCTCACTCTCTCTAAGGTGTTTATTGTTGACCGCATCCCAGCTACTTCATCACCCTGACCTCCTTCCAGCCCCTCTACGGCAAGCTCTCAGACATTTTCGGCCGCAAGGAGTGCCTCCTCTTCGCGTACACCGTCTTCGCCCTCGGCTCGCTGGGCTGCGGCCTCGCGCGTACCTTCACGCAGCTGTGCCTCGCGCGCGCCGTCGCCGGCATCGGCGGCGGCGGCATGAACAGCGTCGTCAGCATCCTCATGTCCGACATCGTGCCCCTGCGCGACCGCGGCGTCTGGCAGGGCTACATCAACATCATCTTCGCCGCCGGCACCTCCACCGGCGCCCCGCTCGGCGGCCTGCTCGCCGACTCCGTCGGCTGGCGCTGGTCCTTCATCGGCCAGGTCCCCCTGTGCGTCGCGGCCTTCGCGGCCGTGTATTTCGTCCTCGACCTGCCGCAGACCAGTCACGACCACTGGCGCGAGAAGGTGCGCCGCATCGATTTCCTCGGCGCGGGATGTCTGGTTGCTGCCGTCGTGGCGCTGCTGGTCGGGCTCGATGCGGGCTCGAACCGCGGGTGGGCGAACGGCGTGACGCTCGCGGGGCTGGCGGCCGCCCCCGTGCTGTTCGGCGTGTTCGTCTTCGTCGAGATGCGCGTCGCGAGCCACCCGTTCGCGCCGGGGCACATCATCTTCGACCGCAGCCTGTTCGCGGGGTACCTCACCAACTTCTTCGGCGTGGCGGGGCACATTGCGAGCATCTTCTTCCTGCCGCTCTTCTTCCAGGCCGTGCAGGGCGCGTCGGCGACGCAGGCGGGCGCGTTCTTGGTGCCTGCGATGATCTTCTCGGTGGTTGCGTCGGTGGGCAGCGGCGTGATTATGAAGCGGACGGGGCGGTACTACAAGCTAACCGTGGCGGCGTTCGGGCTGATGTGCGCGGCGCTGGTGCCGGTCGTGGCGGCGCTGTGGGTACGGTCGACGGCGGGGGTTGTGGGCGGGATGGCGGTGCTGGCGCTCGGCGGCGGGGCGGGGATCACGACGACGCTGGTGGCGCTGCTGTCGAACGGGTCGGTGGAGGACACGGCGGTCGTGGTGGCGTGTTCGTATCTGTTCCGGAGTTTGGGCAGCAGCATCGGCATCAGCGTGTGCTCGGCGGTGCTGCAGCAGGTGTTAAGGACGCAACTAAGGGTCAGGCTGAGCGACGGGGAGGAGGCGCGGAGGATCGAAGAGAGGGTGAGGGAGAGTCTGGACTATATCCGCGAGCTGGAGCCGGGGGTTCAGGGGGAGGTGAGGGGTAGTTATCAGGTGGCTACGTTGGGGGCCATGGTGCCCATGACGGCGTTTTTGGTGCTTGCTTTCGCGTCGACATTCTTCATCCGGGAGCGGGCTTTGAGTAAGTGAGGGCTGTGTCGGTGGTGGTGGTGGTTGTTGTCGCGACGGGAAGCGGGTGGATATTCATGATGAAAGTTCCCTTCGACCACACAGGGCAGCTGCCAGCTGTTGGGCTCTGTATAAGGCGGGCGTAACATCTCCTGGCGCACTTATAAAACATCGACATGACGTCCAAATTCTCGCTTCTCCCGCAAGAAACATTTGATGAAAACAGCAACTGCGAAGCTGAACAGCCCTGTGTAGCAGACTCGAGCCAGAAGAGACCCCTTTTTGCCGTATTTAGAAAACCCGAGACGGCAAGATATAAGCGGTATTACCCGTCGGAATAAATGCTGGACGGAGACAGTGACGACCAACGGATGTAGATCGAGATGCTGCGTCAAGACCTCAGGGCCTTCTTGGCTGGGCAGTGAACCAATCCTATCTGGTGTTATTTTCAAGTCCATGACGGCAGAGTCTTGCCCAATTGCGCTTGGGCGTGCCTGAAGGAGCTCGCCAGGGGCGTTTATATTTGTACCACTTTCAAACAGCAATAAGTCGGCGTCATTATTTCTACATACCAAGGTACGTAAGCTGTTAGCCCACTCGTGAGATCATCATCTATGGACGACCTTGAGAAGGGTTTTGCGCGCGCAGAAGTATGAGACCGTGTTGGCATTGACCTGAGAAGTGCATATAAAATTACGGCAGCCAGCTTTTGGAAGCCCACGACCAAATCGTGGAGTCATCGACAGTTTTGAAATTTGCGGGATTGGACATCTCCACTGGCACTTCCAAATTGGCAGGAGACCCGGGGCATCTTTTCCGGTATTGGCTCCGCCTGCTTGGAGGGGTCTCCATGAATACGTGCCCTATCAACCCCAGGACAAAGCCAGTGACGAATGAAAGACGCTCTTCCACGTGTAAGAAGTCGCTGTTGCGAGCTCATGGCCTCAGGACATGTATACATTGGAAGATAGCTAAGCCTCACCTCTTGCGTGGCAACTGGATTTTTCTTGTTCAGCCACTCCTGAAATCTCCATCTCTATGGTGTTATATAACTGCACGGTGACGTTGTTTCTCTCAATAACGGTGTCAATGCGGCGGTTCTGCCCCCTGGAAGCCATGAATCTGCCCTGCCCATAAATGCCTCTCCTCAGATTCAATACCGCTTCTGAAAATCACAGAAGAATTGTGTTCTCAGTGTTAAATTTCAACGGAGACAGATGACTATGATATGCTTCGCGAAATCCGTTCCCTAAAGACAGCATAAACGCTTAAATTGTACTCTCTTTAATAATCTCGTCTCTTTCCCGGATCCGCTTTGAATGATTTGGTGGGTATAAGAAAAAGACGCTGTTAGTTAAGTGACACTCATCTCTCGCTTCTAGAGAAAAGAGGCAGAGGGGGGAAGGAGTCTGGCGAGCCGTCAGGGCAGAGTGTCTCTTACTGACCTGCGATTCGAGGATACAGTGAGGACCCGATCATTCTCGCTGGTGAAGAAGCACCACCAAAATTGAATTAGACATCGCAATATGTAGGCGAGTGAATTAATGAGCGAAGCCTCTCCCTTTCTTCGTTTTTCTTCTGCACTATCAACATTCTCATCATCTATCGATTCGTAGATCAGCGGGCACGGAGCATCCTCCTGTAAGTGCCATGACTTCGGATGCATCAAGACTCGAAACAATGCACAGGGGCGTCAGTCAGATCAATGAAGAACCATTCCCACTGCAGTATTTCTATAATCGGTTCCCGGCAAGGAAATATTGCATAATGCCGAATTCTTGCGATGGATGAAGTGTCGAGGCTGAACTAGATCACTCAGAGTCAGAGCCATAGTCCACCAAGGAAGGGGTAGCGGGCGGAGCTTTTGCTTGCGTTTGCTTCAGCCCTGGCAGCAACTTGGTCTGCTTCGGATGGCGTTTCGTTTTGATGAGGGCGTTGATGTTGGTATGTCTTGCGGTGTGTGCTTCAATCTGATCCGATACTTCAGCTTCGGACCTCGCATGCAAAGAGAAAGCGCGCCTTGCGTCCTCTTCATCCTTCTGGTCCTCCACCGTCATAGCAGCGTTCTTATCCACAGTGATCCCGTCTCGGTTGCGAGGGCTTCTTTTTCGAGATCCCCCAACGTGGGGTTTTCGGTGTTCTCGCGTTTCTCGTGCTCTCGCTCTAGTCGATCTAGACGCTCGTCCGCCGTCTCGTTGGCCACGTCGTCACCTATGCGCCATGGTTCTGTGATACGCTTTGCGCCAGTCTCACAGACATAGTCGCTTGCTTGGGGAACGGTTCTAAGAGTGATTTCTCGCGACTGATGAGACTGGGTAGCAATCTACGCCTTGAAATTCAAGTCAGAGGATGGGGGATGGGGGAAGGGGGACTTACATATCGTGTGCAACGAATGAAGAGGCGGTAGATCTGGATAGCACCCAGGTAATTCTCGTCTAGCGTCAGCTTCCGGGCATTGAACTTGCGCCCCTTTCCGATATACTCGCCGCATGAGGTGCATTGCATCGAAAAGGGTGCCGCCCATCGGACTTGTTGCCCCTGCGGTGCAGCTGCCTCCCCCCTGTGTCGTACCAGTAGCAGCTGGCTAGGGTCGAAGGTGGGCGGATAGTACTTGGAAACAGCTTTGCGTTCTGACATCTTCGGAGCAGATAAGTTTGTGTTGAAGTTGATAGTTGTGAGGGTGATGTTGTGAGCTATCAGATTGAAGATGGTATCGGGGTGTTTGGGAAGAATCCAGTTTCCAGGTGAAGAAGAAGTTGAGGAATAGTTTCTCTGCATAACCATAATATTTCTGTAGTGTTCAACATGCTTCTATTGTAAATATGAAGTTATCTGACAAGGTGCTCAGACGGAGACCTGGATAATATAGATACCTTGGGATCCTTCGATGGATACACCGAAATGGTATTCAACATCTCATATAACATTACCTAGGTCGCATCTACCTTACAGGGTACTCAATGCATGCACTTTCGAAGTTGTCTCGATACTCGCAAAGGTCTTATCAAACCTCGGCATACAAAACTTGGATGGATACTCACAAAGAGAAAACACATAGCGTCCGCAGAGCGTTTAGTAGGTCGCGAATGTGAAGTCAATAAAAGCGTCCTTTGAGAGCTTCCCTGTTCTCAATTTAAGACAACCAATGTGTTTAGCAGACAGATCTTGCTGTGAGAAGTGAGCTAATCGGAATTTTGCACATCGGAGCACCCCCGTTTTGTCATGGAGGATCCGTGTCAACATCCGAACCTTCTGTTAGTCTTGGTTGTCATAATTCGCAGCATATTGTGAGTATTCAGTGATGTTTTCGATTCAGTGGGTAAAAACCGTGTACAATGTGTGTTCATGCGGCACTTGCAAGGCTACTTACAACGCAAGGGGAATGCTCGCTCTACTTAAGGCTAGATGTACCATGAAGATTTGCGAGACCTAGGTCACGACATACAATCAAACGGCACTAGAGCCTGTCTGTCTGCGTCCTAACCCTTCATCGTCGTTACCTTGGCCTGTTCTGAAGCCATTCCAGAATTTGGAGACGACGATGTTATGCCAACCAGTTGGCATTGCGCTCAAATCTCATCGTGTGGTCGAAACTAGACCACTTCCCGGTGTATCTCATATAAAAACTGCTGAATGAGAGCTGTGCCATTGATACTTAAAGATCCGAAGTCTGACATCTGAAGTCTCGGGCCTATTGTTTCCCTGGTGGCGCGTTTCATAGAGACGATAAAAGACTGGGATTCTCGTCTGAAAAGCTCGTAACAGCTCTCAAATTCGCCAAAGCAAAGCTTTCAAAACCCCGTCATCTTTCGTTTGTATCTTCCAAGCGACGATAGATGTAAACCAATGGGTTGCTTGGGGAACATTCTGACAGGAGTACACAGCCTCGCCTACCTTAACCGTCAAGAAAGTTCGGGATATGCGACTCTTTCACGCGGCCAAAACTTGTGCCCAATGAGGACACAGGTGTATAGAGTACCAACCATGACTGACGGCGAACGGAGAATGTTCCTATCTCGCTTCACCTCACTCAGTTGGAATGCGCCGAATTGAGTTCCTCGGAGATCCCCTAATCATACGCGAGACATCTGAATTGCCATGAACAAACTCTTTCGAATTGCTTTGTAGCATACAGTGGGTTGAGGACTCGAGGCAATAAATAGTGAACGCAGTGTCTGTCAATCTGGGGGCATTGGCATTGCCAAAGCCTTCGGATTCTGAGCAAAAGGCGCAAGTGCGGTAGTATATATAACCGTCTCAGTATGATCAGCTACCGGGGGTTAAGAAAATCGCTCTTCTGTCGTTCAGTTGTACATCAGAGTCGGTGAGGAATGGGACGCATTGTCCCTTGGGTATGGGCAGTCTGAGGTCTATGTGATCAATCGGCGGCTCGTCTATCTCAACGTTTCATTTGATCGCTAGGTAATCAATGAGAAGCATTGCGAATGACTATATAATACTCTGGCAGTGGTGACAGTGAAGGTGGATGAAGACAACTTCGAACACACGTCGAGCGAAGTGTAGACGGGCATGCTGTAAATATGCTCCATTTTGTCACATTCTCTCCCAGCTCATCCAGTGACATTTGTTGGGAACCTCCGGTGGTGGCCAGCATTTGGGTTGATTCGAAAGACTTCTGGGCGTCCCAAATAAATACCCTTCGAAGATATTTCTAGAGGGCAGCTCTCGCCGTGCATCCAGACGCTTCAGATTTCATTAACCGGAAGCTATCTCTGCGCCTGCCTACAGAAAACCCAGAGCCATGTTTCTTTCACCCACCCACTCGTGCCTTCCATCACAACCTCCAGCGTTGCTCCCTCCTTCCTCACATTCAACCTAGCCCCACCACCACCTTCCCATTCCTTATCCTCAACGCGCCTTCCTGCCTGCCTGCCTACTTATCCAACTTCCGTCCCATCCCCCTCAACCAGTTCAACAGCGACGGCGTGACCCATTTGGTAATCACCTAGCTTAAACAAATTCCTCGGAAGGATTCCTGGTTATCCTAGAGGGGCGCTAAGTTCGAATCCCGTCACGCGGTATTCTTACAGGAAAGGGCCTAGAGGTGGGGACGTGTGTCCCATCTTTTGCTTTTTGTGACTCTCATTTTGATGTGATATGTGTTTATCTTAATTCTGTGGCGATGTGAGAGCATGGTGGTGTTGTCCTGTCGTTTTTGTCATTGACCCTTCCACGATCTCACCTAAAGCATACCAGGCCTGCATCACGGAAACTATCAACCCACACACATGCACCATCCGGCCCGCAAGATTTCCCTGCCCGCATCGGAAGCCCATCGTTCTTCGCCGATCACCCGTGAGACAAATGATGGGTGCATACAAGCTCGGCAAAACCGGACGTCCCTATCTCCCCCTCAGCCCTACGGAGATCGTCGTCCGCGGGGTGAGGTAGGTGGCGCTAGCCCGCCAAGGTACTTGCATAGAAGCAAGGCAACCATTGCGTCTCGCCACCTGCCTCGATGGCAGTGATGAAGAAGACTAGTCATGCAAACACTCTACGAGCCCTTGAAGTCATTGGACGGCCACGTTAAACAGCAACGGCTTATGGACCTTGGGAAATGTTTTGGTTTTTGGAATTTTATCTCTCTAGTATCCTTTTCCTAAGCGTGAAGCGAGAGTCCATCAGACACTGGGTAGTAAAAAAACGGTGATCCCCTCATTCCTTTCATATCATGAAATCATAATTGGTTTTTTTTGGTTTTGACATTGGTAGGGGGTGGGATATCAAAGCTGGCAGGGACTTCTTGCGACCAAAAGGCGAAAATCAAAGAAGGGGGAACAGCGGAGAAGAAAAGCCCAAAGATGGAAAACATATGGCAAAGACGAATAAAGATCCAGCTTTCGCTCCCAATGGTGATATCCGCGACAAGCGCCCGCGACCCGGCGGACACAGACTGTTGTTTGGGTTTGCCTTCTTTTGCTTTTTTGGTCCTTCGCAATCGCATCCCTTCTAGAGATATGCCGTTTCGTCTGGGTCCCTTGTCTATCTGAAATGAGCAATGTGGTTTTTAAATACGCGCAAGATTCCTCCCACGTATCTCCAGGTTTTCCCTCTTCTAACCTCCCGCGACTTCCCGCTTTCGACCCGTTTACAAGAAGGAGCGGCGGGGGAAGCTGACGCCCTCGACGGCCGGGTTATCGACGAACCAGCTGACGCGGTCGCCGGCGCCCTCGTTGACCAGGGCGCAGGGGAGGCCGTCGCCGTGCTCAAAGATCCTCTTCATGATGTCCTTCTTGCCGCCGCCGGTGGCGACGAAGGCGATCTTGACGCCGTGGTTGACGACGGGGAGGGTGAGGGTGATGCGCTTCGGCGGGGGCTTGGGGGAGTCCTCGATGGGAGCGACCCAGGCGGTGGTCTCGCGCAGGAGCTCGTGGCCGGGGAACAGGCTGCAGGTGTGGCCGTCGGGGCCGGAGCCGAGCAGCAGGAGGTCGAAGATGGGCAGGCGCACGCTGTCGCGGCTGGCGAAGCTGGTGACGAGGGTCTTTTCGTACTGGTCGGCCAGCTCCTGGGTGTCGTTGAGGTAGGTGGTGTCGATGGGGTGGACGGTCGGGGCGCCGAGCTCCTCGGGGATCTTCTCGAGCAGCTCCTTCTTCAGGAGGGCGTAGTTGGAGTCTTCGTGGTCGAGGGGCACGGCGCGCTCGTCGGCGAAGAAGATCTCCCACTTACCAAAGTGGACGGTGTCTTCGGGGCCGGAGGACGGGGTGAGCAGGGCTTGCGCCAGCGTCTTGGGGAGGGAACCGCCAGAGACGGCAACCTTGAAGGCACCGTGACGACTCAGGCCGGCATTCTGTGCTTGGATGACGTAGGCTCGCAGAGCGGGCGCGAGCTCGCTGACCGATGGGTAGGCGTAGAGGTTTGGCTGTTTGTTGCTCATGGTGGGGTAATTTTTTGGCAGGTGAAAGGCGGGGGCGGAGGTGTTGTCGGAAGCGAGGTTGTGAAGAATGGAAGAGGGGAGGTAGGCGGAAGCGAGCAGGCTGCTTAGGGTGCAGAATCTGAGAAAAATGTTTGCTGGTGGGTTGGCCTGAAATTTGGCGAAGCTGTGTGGCTCGGAGTGTGCAGTAAGGTATCTGCAGGATGCCGTTGATTCGGCAGGCGTGGACGGGTGGTGTTGGTGGTGGTGGTGCGCCTTTGGTTTATCTGGAGGTTCAGACGAAAAAGGCTCGAGTCGGAACGACGACACACGGGAGACAGGTAATAAGGCCCGAGGAGTGGCAGGGTCGGTCTAAGAATCTAGCGGGCGACGGATGGGTCATGGATGTTTCCAGATGCCTGGAACAACACACACGGTGACACACACTGACCTTTGGAGAGGGCAGAAAATAAAGACAAAAAAAACGATAGCGGGGCTAGAATGTTTTGTCTTTTTCGGGGCAGGATGTCCAGAATGCAGGCAGGCAGTTGCGAAATGAAATTGTAAAGCACAGCACAGACGAGGGTGCAGGCGCGGCAGGGCAGCTCAGGCTGTGGCTTGACTGTTGGTGCTTTGGTTGGATCTCGGCGTGTTTTGTCGCTCAAATCCAGCCGTTTTGTTTGTCGGTGGTCAGTGTGAGCCGTTTAGTGGTGGTTGGATGTGCAACAGCAATGCCGGGGCGCGGGCGGAAGTGTGCGAGCTGCAG